TACGCGACAAAATCGATCAATTGCGATCGTCTCTCATTACAATCTAGATGCAGAGAGCACTAAAACATTAAACCGAATGTGCGAATCGGCTTCGTACGTAGAAAAACCGAGTAATATTGTGCAAGTACACGATAGTATAGTAACATCGAGCGTAGTATGCAGGCGCCGACGACGACGGATAGAGTAGTGGTATAGCAACTAGCAATAGTAGTAGTATACGGTATTATTAAGCGTCGAACTGCACCAGTGTAGTGTAGGCCACGTGTTTTGACGCATGCAATTCTCGCGAGTCGCGCGCTATCATGTGCACACGATGCGTCTGTGTACGTGTGTGCGCGCGCGCGTGTAGAACGTAAACAACAGAGACTCGCTGCTGCTGCTCCGTATTACATACAATAATGCGCTCTATACCTATATATACTGCACCCGAAGCAGTGGCGGCGGTACGGCGATGGCTGCGCGCGCACTCGCAAACACTGCGCTCACACACGCTCACTTGCCACTCATGCACGCTCACACTCACACCATGATGTAGTTGCGTGTCAGTAAAGAAACGACGCAGTTCGTCGCGCGGCGGGCATAGCACACAATGTGTAATATAGGTGTACAGCATGTTTTTTCGTTTCACTGCAGCAAGTTCGTGGATGTCATGCATTTGGATGAACGAAGGTAGAAGTATGAAGTAGAAGAAGAAGAAGAAGAGGCAAAAAAACAATCGAGAACGCAAAGTCACGAATTATTAGGCTGCGCTACTACTCGCGCGCGTGGTATGGAGCGGATGACATTTCGTGTCTGACAGTTTGCGTCAAATCGTTAAATGGCGGTGTGTCCGTCGCACACGCGGGAAAAGACAAGCTATATAATAATAATGAATACATTCAGTCGAAAGCTCTGCCTGATCATCTGCGAGGTCGTATTTATACAGAAAGTCCTCGCGAGGAATTGCATAAAAACTGGCAATTTTTAATAATAAAAATTAAATCGTCATCGTGAATAAAACGTCATTGCTCGTGTCGTTGACGGCTGCACAAACACGCTCGTGTGCGTATATAAACATACACACACATGCATGATATATCTGCGTAGTAGAAGTAGTAGTAGAAATAGTAGTAGGAGCAGTGCAGCGGTGTGGCGGTGGCGGCAGCGGCGCGACGTGGTGTACGAATGCGCGCGCATTTGTTTACATCGTCGTATTGTAGCACGCGTTGAGGTCGACAACCTCCCGGCAGCAGCAGCGGCAGTGTACAGTCTGTAGTAGTGGCGGCGCTCGCTGCTGCTGCTGCTGCTGCTGCGACGTATCTTGCGCGCGCGCTCTCTCTTTTGCAAAAGGGGCATTCCGCGCATTCCACGCCGCTGCTACAGTGGCAGCGGCAACGGCAACGGCAGCAGCAGCTTCTTTCACTCTTCAAATGCGGTATATAGAATTGCAGAAACGAGAAAACAGATATGGGAGGGGGGAAAAGCGAGAAAAACTCCAAAGACTCCGATTATGCGTATGAAAATACGAAAATTCAGAGATATTATTGTGCCTTTTAATGGTTTTGTTTATGTCGTTGCTCCAAAATTTATTCGAATAAATAAAGCCGATGCACGTCATACAAAATCGCCAATGTCGCAAACTCACGCGACGACGAAAAATAGAGAGAGAGAGAGAGAGAGAGAGAGAGAGAGAGGAGGCCAGAGAGCTCGAGTTGTGCTGCGCACATTCGTGGAAGAGCGCTCCGACCGCCGAGTTAAGACGCAAAAAAAGTCCACACGTATACGTTTCATAACAAAACGCGCGCGCGCACAAAGGATGTCTATACTTTTATATGTATACGCGCGTATTTATATAGGACTACTATGTATATACTACGACGAGAAGTGGTGTGTATAATGATTCATCTCCCTAAAGGTCCCTCGAATGTATACTCGGCCGATTCGAGGCAAGGCGCATTTTATGTAAGGAGGCAGCAACAGCGACAGATCCGCGTGGTGTATGTAGGGTATATACTATGCATGTTTGTGTGTGCATGTAAGTGTCTCTTTTTCACGAGACGACGATATACTCTGTTGCTGCTGTACTGCCGCTGCTGCTATGTATATATAATTTTAGTCCGAAGTCTCGTGAAAAAAAAGCGCGCGCGGGGCCAGCAGCAGCAGCACAAGCTATAAGGCATGGCAGCAACAGCAGCAGCATCAACCAGCAAAAACAACAACAGCAGCAGCAGCAGCGACGAGTTACAGGCAGAGCGTCGAAAATGGTGGGAGCGACGTCCTTGTCGCCGCCGCCGTTTACCACCACCATCTCAGCGTGGCTCTCGGCTCGGCACTCGTGCACACACACACACACACACACACTCGCACTGCAGCAGCGGCTGGCGTATACGTGTGTATATAAACACAGACACACGCGCGCGGCGCAAAAGGGAAGAGCAAGACGGAGAGCGAGAAGAAACGCGGGAGAAAGACAGAAGAGAGAGAGACTCCTAAAAGGATGTGTATATTATGTGTGTGTGTGTGTGTTTGTGCATTTCGGAGACGCGATACTCGCCGGCGAGAGTATTATAACATGAAATACATATAATAACACACAACAAAACAGAAAATCGGACGTACACCGTAGGTGGCATAAAAACCACGCTTTTATATTATGACAAGCGAGAGAGTTTCGATTTCGGCGCGTAGTACACACGTAAAGCGAATGATAGTGCGCATGGAGCAGCGGTGTGTCTGCCTTGCCTTGCTGCATCTATATAGCTATATATTTTAGCAGTGCTGTGCGCTGCGCGGAAAGAGCCATGCAGCAGCAGCAGCAGCAGCAGCAGCAGCAACAGCGGCTGCGGCGGCGTCGGCAGCAGACAGCCATGACAGAGAAAGAGAGAGAGAAAGCAAGAGCAAGAGAGAGACAGAGAGCAAACGCAAACACGCACACGCCCTTGCGAGCCCAGGCTAAATAGTAGTACTACGTATCGCGCGCAAACGTACGCTTTTATGTATAGTATAGTATAGTAATAGTACTATACTACCCGTAATGTGCCTCGAGCTTTTTTTCCGTAATACGTCTCTATATAATACGTTTGTATGTCTGTCTGCCTGTGTGTGCATGTATGTATATGAAAGCATCAGCAGCAGAGAGACAGGCAGGCTGTGTTTATATTCGCGTGTTATATATAGGTATAGTACTTATGCACATACAGACAACACACTCACACAGACAACTGACTCTCCTCGCCACGGATCGACGACTCAGAAAATTTGTTTTTGTTTTTGTTATGATACGTCGCGTCGGCGATTTCGCGTGCGTGTGCGGTGCGGTGCGGTGTGCTGCTGACTGCTTCCACGCTGCCGCTCGCGCGCTTACCCGCGACATCGATCATACACATCTCTTATACGTATAATATACATATAAACGTGTGTAATCTACCAACTATTATACGATTCCGCGAAACGTTTGCGCCTCGTGTGCGTACGGAAAAAGCCCCTTTTATTTTTTTTATTTATAATGCAATGTTACGTCGAGTCGCGCCGTATTAAAGAAGGAGCTCGTGCACTACTCGCATCCTCGGCTGAGGACGAACGAGGCAGGGAAGTTCTCGACGGTGGTGCCCCGAGTATAGTTTACTTACACACACGTACACATATATAACGTATTGAATATATCGTAGTACTACACATAACAGAGCCACGCGCTGCTCTCCGCGGCCGTCGCTCGCTCTTTCTCGCTCGCTGCTCGACCTTCGCGTGCTTCGCGAGGTGGTTTATATACAGGTATAATATAGGAGCTATATCGCGTACACACAAGCTGGACGATTGTTGTTGCCTACTCTACTCTTGGGTGCACACACACACGCACGAGGAACGACTCGAGCGAAACAATAACAACGCAAATTTTAATATGCTATATCTTTAATAACGCTTAATAAAGCTGCTCATCTCTTTAATAACGACGAAATTTTAATTTTACAGATTGAACACTTGCACTGAATATTAGAATTTCACTGTAAGTACGAGAGCACTCGTGCAGACGAAGATGTTTTTTCTGTCACTCGGGGCGTGTGTTGCAAAGACGTAATATCGCGGGGACCACCACGAACTAGACACGACGATCGCTGCTTTCGCGTTATCGCAAGTAAATATATGCTTTTACATTACATGCAAACTTTTTTTTACACTTACTGCTCGACGACTTTCGTGTATTTTAATATTATCTGGTATTAATTGTGTATTGTGTGTGCGTCTGACCGCCTCGTGACTCGTTCTGCCTGTATACATCAACATTTGCCGTTCGGTGGATTAGGCCTAGCCGTATTATATACCGCGCGCGCGCTCTTGGCTCTCTGCTAAAATGTGTGCTGTGCCTGTGTCTGCTACATACATACACATATTCGCGATTACGAACACACATACACACACACACACACACACACACACACACACATGCATTCAATGAGAAGCACGAAAGGGAGAGAAAGACAGCCCGCGCGCCGTTCAAGAGAGGGAAAAGCCGAGCGCGGCAGCGGCAGTAGCAGCAGCAGCAACAGCAGCAGCAGCACGGAGAGCACAATAACAAACACACGGGGAACGCGCGCACAGCAACGAAAGCGGCGCGCGGCAGAGAGCACAGCCCAAGCAGCACACAGCACGGCACAGACAGACACACACACGTATATATATAGGTACACACTTACAGACACACAGACAGACCTCGACGTCTCGAAACAACACGGCTCCGAAACTATATCTGTATGTTTTTTTTCTTCTACGTATATATATTTTATGCACTTATACTGGATGCTACTACTGCAATTCACGCGCATCGCAGTTGATTGCAATTACTACTACTACTACCAATACTACTGATAGTACTATTACTACTACTACTATTATTACTACTACGGTCGGCAGCGTGAGCTTGTTATTACAATCTTATATAGCACACACTTGCCAATGGACACTTGCTGCTTGCGCCTCATCGTTACGCTTATACTCAATTATGATTTATTTTTTTCATCACTCACCTTTTCGTATAAATACGTGCTCCGCACGTATATCGATAAACTCTCGAAGAAGACGACCGTGGAGCGCACCACGTCGCGTCGTAGTCGTCGTGTTTTTACGCCGCAAAGCAACCAAAAACACACACACGCGCACTTGTTATGACAGCTTATATAGTAGCCGCTGCTGTTGCTGCACACGCACACACGTAAACGGTGTTTGTTGCGCGTTTTATTGTACAGAGACGAGGCGAGAGAGAAGGAAACGTCGAACGCGTTCCGGAGTTTGTTGCGAAATATCTTTGCGCTCGTGCTCCGAGCTTGTTTACTACTGGCTGACACCACAAACTAGCCCCAACTATTATGCACTAGTGCGTGTATGTACTGCGCGTCGTCGAAAATAATGCGCGGCACAAAGTTCAGTAGCATCGCACACACTGTGTTGTGTATATAAAAAGTCGCACTTGCACACTTGGGCACGAGGAGGAGATAGGAGGCTGCACACCGCTCTAATCACAGCTGCACACGACGACACAATTGATGTGAGACATCTTCTTCGCGGCACGACGGACACGGATGATGACGATACAACACAATCGTCGTGTATACGATCACTTTTTTATTATTAATATCGTAACACACTTTAGCGGTGGCGACTGTAGGCCTTCAGTTTCGACACAAGCGCGACATATTTTTTTACGTATTATTTTTATGTATTATTACAACTTTCACACACACACACACTGTTGCTGCTTTCTGAACACTACCACACACTGCACTGGAGAACTGCACTGAGCTGCGGCGGCAAATGTCGTCGCCGATTTACACTGTTGTCGAGAGTCGCGGAGCGAGCGAGATTATATATACGTGTGTGTGTATGTGTGTGTGAGTGTTGGGATAAAGTTAAACTGCGCAAAAGGCAGACACACACAGCACGAAAACGAGGGAGTATAGAGAGAGTGAGAGAGTTGAGATATATAGAGAGAGAAAAAGCCGGAGAGACAGCGAGAGAGAATGCGAAAAAATATATATTACACCACGCACACAACACTATAACGCACTGAAAAACACACGACGAGGCTCTGATTTACACGATGCGATGACTCGAAGCAAAGCGAGCGAGTATACTTTATATGAGAGAGAAAAATGTTTCAGTACTTTTTCTTTTCTTTCTGTTGCTGTTGTTGTTGTTGTTGTGATTGTTGTTATTACATATATATTACGTTATATATGTGTTTTGTATATATTTGCGATTGAATTGTGTATAGGGACGCCGTGAGCATTGACACGGTGCAGCGTCACGCGCGAGACTGACGACTGCGCCCCCGGTGTACGGCGTTTAATCCGCGCTTCTCGGTGTATTCGCACTCACACAGGCGCATTCGCGCGTTCACAGACGCTGCTGCTGCTGCGGCGTATACGGCGGCGCGGCGGCGGCGGTGGTGGCGGCGGCAGCGGCGCGCACAGACACAAGCCTGACATTGCAAATGTGTTTTGTGTATATACTACGTATGTATGTGTGAGTGTGTGTATATGTATTGCGAGCGCCGCCGCCGTACGCCGCGTCGCGCTGCTGCTGCTATTGCCGCCGCTGTATACACATACGATTCTCTTGTGTTTGTGTATATACGTGTATGCACAGAATCTCCGACTCTGTCTCTTTCTATTATATATAGTGTATATATAACGTCGCTGCGCGTCTTTCGCTGATTCGCGAGGCTGCCACTTACTATCAGCGCTATTGAGGTATATACTACTACTACTATACGCCGCTGCCATATATATTATACACCGCACTATAACTGCAGTCTACCACGACGTAGACGACGTTGCAGCTGCCGCCTAATTCTTGGAAAATTCTACCCGCGCCCGAGCGTCGTTTGTTGATGTTGTTGTTGTTGCTGCTCCTCTCTTTTCTTCCCCTGTCTTTCTCTCTCTCTCTCTCTCTCTCATTCTTCGCACGCAAACTCATATATACAGTATGGTATACGATTTACGCTCCACCGCCGCGTAGTAGTACATAGTACCGACATCTCGCGGACTGCTGCGCGCAGCGCTTCGTGTGTATACATCGCGCGTCGTGCATTATATTCATTCGCGGCTCGATCGAAAATAATTATAAATGAGAAAAAAAAGGGCGCGATAACGACGCCGCGGCTCGATCGTTCATCGTCGTAACGTATATTAAAAAACTGCGTGCGAAATTTTCGCGCTATAAATATAATCCATCGAGTTTCCGTGTGTGAGTAAAATATGCCGTCTCGGCTGCGTACGCTACTACACACCATATATACTACCATCATACTACAATTACTACAGATACTACTACTACGAGTCTCTCTCTCACTCGTCTCACGAGGGTGGGGAGGCCGATAACGTAGATCGCGACCCTCCGCGTGGTAAAAATATATTGATCCGCGCGTACAGTAGTAGCGGCGGGGCGGCCAGCAGCAAGAGCCGTTCTCGCGCGCGAACGAGAACACCGCATGCCCCTCGTGTGCGCGCGTCTGGCTTGCCTGCCTCGCTATAATGCAGCGCACAGCACACTGTACACACGCCGGCGTGGGTTTGTTTACGATTTCACAAGCGCGCCCGGCTCTGCGTGTGTACTGTATATATGTGTACCGAAGCAGCGACGGCGGCGGCGGCGACCATGATCCCGTATATCGCGTCGAGCGAGCTGTATCTGTGTGTGTGTGGGTGCGAAAGAGCGTGGCGTGGCGGTGGCGGCAGCGAAACGTACAATACCGAGTTAGCGTATACTGCGCACAGTATATAGGTGTATTGTTATTGTATCGCGCTCTCTCTCTCTCGCTCTCGTCAATTTTCAATGAAACATCGGTAAACTTCTGTTTATTCCGGAGTAGCTGCATAATACTACGTTTTATACGTTACGAGCGGCTATTTTTAGCTGCACACACACACACAGAGCATTATATATCCTTGTATGTGTGGCGTCAATGGATTTTCCGTATATAATAAACCATATCGCGCATCGATCGATGCCTGCGCCTGCCCGCCTGCTGTTGATGCTCGCTCGTTTTATTTTCACTCGCGCGAATCGGAGGGCAGTTTTAATATAATTGACTTTGCGGTGTATGTTTGTGCGTAGGTCGCGGCGATGACGTTGACGATGATGAACTTTTTTGACGAACGTCGTCGTAGGCTGTGTGCATCGGGGCTAAGTAAATAGAGTATCGAGTACTTTTCCTAACTGCACGTTGTGTTATATATACGTTCGTTTCTTCTCTCGCTCGCTCGCTTCGATTTGCTCCATTAACATTGACATTATTTCCATTCGAGTACTTTTCCAAGAGCGCACGCGCTCTGCTTCTCCTTTCCTTTTTTTGTAATTTAAAAATAATTAATTAACTTCTTTCTATTTCGTTTAATTAGCGATTGATTTTGAATTTAACTTTGTAGTTCTTCTATGTAGTGCTGAAGTTTCACAGACTGTCTGTGTTACTGCGAGAGACGTAAACGCAGTATTATCGGGATGCTCGGCTGTGCTCCGTCCGAATGAACTTGACTGCAACTGTACAAATGCATGTTTTGGAAGAGTTAAGTTGATATCGTCGCTTTTATTTGAGTCTTTATGAATTAAAAATTACATTTACATAAAACCATTAGAATGATACATATGTAATAAATATACAGTAAAACTTCTATAATTGGAAGTCCACTATATTTTAATATATATAAAATCTAACAACGTAACTTATCACATTATCGTATAAAATTTGCTGCTATACCTTTTAGTCGATGCTGAGTCGTGCTGGCGGTAGCATACAAAATTGCAGCAAGTTTTTGTATCCGTTCATGTATTGTTCATTATGCTCTGTTAAAATAATAAAAAAAATTGCCTTAATTAAAAAAAAAAAAAGAAAGGAAAAATTGCCATTTATTTCTTGCATCTCGGTGTCGAAGTTAATTCACGTGCGGAATTTCGTTGATACACACGAACGGTCGAAAGCTTAATAATTATATATTATACTTCAAGAATCGAAGAAAAATATACGGGAGCTGCTGCAGCGATTCAATTGGACTTGCATCGCGCCACCAGCAAGAGAGTGACGAGGCCCAGAGCCATGGACGCCGCGCACACAGCTGCGAGCGTGTCTCGATTGTAATGAGGGCAGAGCAGTTTGTCGAAGCATCTCCTGCAAAAGTCGAGCGTGAATCATGCGTTTCATTTTCCGTTATTAAATGTGTTATTTAAAAAGCACAGAAAGCATTAGTAACTCACAACTTCTCGATGAGTATGACGACGAGTCCGGTGATGACCTTGTCGAGGAACGTCACCACGGAGTAGACCATGGCGCTGCTCTCGGTCCTCGGGCCGATCAGCTCGGCCGTGATGGACAGCGCGGTGACCATCGTGATGGAGCTCGCCGCGCCGATGAGGATGGCGACGACGTACAGTATCGCCACGTGGCTGCCGGCGATCTCGACCACCAGCGCTGCCACGACGCCGATCACCGCGCCCAGCAGGTAGCACAGCTGCAATCAATCACGCGAGAGACAAGACGAGAGGGATAAGTGCCACTGAAGTCGGTCGATCTACTTTATAATGTAGGAATAATGTATAAGGTATATATGCATATGGGATGTGCGTGACGAGAAGTCGATGCTCGGCTCGCTCGCACGAAGATCGAAGTTTTTGCTTATTTTATTGTAAGGTAACGGATTTCGTGGCCGCAGGGCTGTTACTTCTGCATATAATCAGCGGCCAATACATCCGTATGGTGTTTATGCGTCGAAACTTCATTTCATTCGGGACTCGAGGCTGTTTTCGTATCCAGCCTCGTCACACGATAGACAAATGCGACTACATAAATATAGCCTGTTGATTCTGTATGCAGGTGCATTATATAAAACTACATCTAACTCAAGGGAGAGAATGAAGTAAACAACTATTAGCACCCATGGGTCGTTATTTAGAACGCACACAAACAAACACGTGCGCGTGCGTGGCGTTGGCGAGTTGTTTGATTCTTTTGTATACATACGTACAAAACAGGACTTCCATTTTGGGTACCGATCAAAGGAGATAAAAGGCGCGCGCGGAGAAGAATAAAAGGATTATTTGGCCGTCTCGGGTCTGCGCGAGAGCGAAGTTGTTTTTCACCAGCAGTAGCGGGGAGTGCATTGACACCAAAAGATCGGTATTTTATTTTTGAAGTTGCGTTGTTGACGTTGGCGAACTTCAAGGTCGGTCGACGCCTGCGCGCACGATTCTCTCAATCTCTATATCTCTCGCATGCATATAGTATATGGTACTTTTATTTTAGTGACTTCGAATGCGCGGCGGCGGCAGTGGCGGCTGCCTGCAGCTTTCGCGTGTGCCACACCATAAGTCACTTTATCGAAGTTCTCGGTAAATAACTTCAGGTATGCGCGCTCGCTCTTGACTTCGATATGTATTAAAGCGTGTGCAGGAACACAACAACAACAACAACAACAACCGGATGAGGGAGAAATCGGCACAAGCCGTCTCGTCGTCTCTTTCTCCCTCTTATTTACTTCATATAAGATCGCGAGAAAAGCCTATACGGAGCTCATTTCGAGACGAAGATATACACTTAATTCTTCAAAGAAAACAAAAAAGAAGAATAAAGAAAAAGAAACGAAGAGAACGAACGAAGTTGTGGCATCTTCTCTCTGTCTCTCTGTCTCGTGCCGTGAGCGTTTGTGTGCAAATTATCCCCCAAAATGTGCAAATGAACGAGCAATCATCGCCATCGGTTTCCGTGCCTCGTAGCCCTTTTTTTTTTTTTTTGCTTACTTACCACCAACTTCCTCGCTTTTTAGCCTGCCGCGCGCGCGTCACGTCACGAAAACATGTTTGCGTGCCGAAAGGGCACAATAACAACGTCAGCAGTCACAACAACAACAACAACAACAACAATAATAATAACAACAACAACGTGGAGCAAAAAGCGCGGGAAGGGACTTCTCTGAAGCTCATATTTAATATATACCGCCCCGAGGCACAAACACACGCACGCATACTACGTGTATACGGATCTCGTGCGAAATAATCGTGCGAGCTGTATTTATAAGTAAAACGAATGTCGGACGAAGTCAAAAAGTGAAGTTCAGCCCATGAGCTATACACGCACGTTTATGTGTACGGTGGCGTCACGAGACAAATAATCTCACTCACTCTCGCCCGGGTGGTTTCTGCGCTGCACTGTATGCAGCGGCGGACAACCACAAAATGAATAATTACGACTAATTAGCGTCTCAATCCACGCGTACGTGTCTCTCTACAACTGCATGTATAACTTCGGGTTTCCTCCTCTCCTTTAGTGCACATCGCCGTCCCGCCATGGGAAGATCAATTGCAGCACTGTGTTGTACGTATATCTGTCTGGCTCACGCTCTCTATGGCATTATATGTGTTGTTCTTCAAAATGAAAATAAAAAAGGCGGGTAAAAGGGCCGCGCGCTCCAAGAATAATATGCGATTATCAATTGTTTCTGTTGCTGCGCGTCACCCCCACTCGCCGCCGACATACGAAGCTCACGACTGAAGATCGCGTGACTTCGCACCGACGCTCCGAAGTGTATACAGCATATACAACGACGAAAAATGAACCTATACGCACGCAATTTCGTTATATAAAGTCACACGAAGCTCTGTACTCGCGCGCGTCAAGTCTACATGCTTGGATAATACATTTCGAAGAAGAAGAAGAAGAAGAAGAAGCTCGCCGCGTCGCTTGTTGCGCCTTGTTTTTCAAAGCCGCTTTAATGTGAGAGCAGAAGCTATATAGCGAGCGAGCGACTTCTGCGCGGCGCTTCGCTGCTCGCAAAATAATAAAGGAGGAAAAAAGAGAGAGAGAGAGTGAAGTTCTCTATGCAGAACTTCGCGTTTATAAGCGCGCGTTATTTATAAATTCCGCCCCAAAACTGCCTTTATATAGTATGGTCTCGCGCGATGCGAGTGCTTGTGCGCGGCGTGTATTCGCTGTATCAGATATTATAACTTTTGTGACTTCAACCGTGAACTTTAATGCTATGCTATGTATGCGTCGGGAGCCTCGTATATGAATACGTATATACGAATAAATACGCATGCATGGCCGAGTGCGCGCGCCCGTTTGTGTTTATAAACGGCGAATCGCCCTGCCGCCGCCGACGAGCTTGGCACTTTCGATTTTAATCATTCAGAGGATATATTTGGGTCCATTTCGGGAGGGAGAGGGCGACGAGGAGGAGGTTTGAAGTTAAAAGGAAGCTCGCGGCGTACGGGCGCGCGCGAGAAAGAAGGAGGGAGGGTACGTATACAAGCTCGAAAAAAAAAAAAACGACGACGACGAAGTTGACGCGCGAAAACGAGAGACGATTTCGCGCGCGCGCGAGAGAGCGAAGTTTTGGATATATTTGCTATTTTTGAAGGGAGACGGAGGGAAAGAGAGAGAGAAAGAGAGGAGGAAGTTGACAGCACTTCACACTCGCTTATTATATGAGAGCTGACTCGTGAACGAAGTCTAAGGAGGCGTTTCTCGAGTGCATCTTTCGCCCGCTGTGTTCAGCGCGATACGTGCATGTTTTTGTTTTACGCACTTCGCGCGCGCGCGTCTGCTGCCAGTCAATCCATCTGTTAAGTTTACTTCGTTATTTTATTTTTTTTATTTTTTTTATTTTTTTTTTGTTTCAATCGCAAAAATCTGTAGCAGGATTTTCTTCGCTGTAAAAAGCGCGCGAAACACAAGCGCAGTACGTTGGTATAAACACACGGCTCGCGTGTATGTTTAATAATAAAGTCATAAATTCAACTCGAACGTGTAAGCGCGCGAGCGACTCCGTATGGTAGTTTTAATACATATCGATTTATTTATCCCTCATCGGTTGTTGTTTTTGTTATTCTTTTTTTCCTTCTTTTTTTTTCCTTCATCGAGATCCAAAAACCGATACCAGTGTACGAATAATTTTTTCAACTCGCTCGCCTTTCATACACACAGACACATGCATGCGCAGCGCACGCGAATTATCTGATCGTCCGAACAAATTCAAACGAATTTATTGGTTTTCGTAAACTACTAAAAGCTGCGCGCACACCTCGTTTTCTCCCGCGCGCATCCGGTTTTGAGTAAAACCAATTTTTTTGTTTTCGTTATTTTTTTTCCTTCATCGAGTAGTCTCACCGCGACGACCTTAATTACGTTCGCATGATTTTTATTATTTATTACTTCATATTCTCCTTTTTTTTGTTGCAACATTTTCCAGACGTGCAAAACGAAACAAAAAAAAAATAACGAAGCAAGAAGTTGAAATTCCTCGTTGCGTTAAGTGTATAAATAAAAAAGCTTCCGATTATACGCACTTGCAGCTATAAATCATCAGCTCCGAGGTATAAAAAAGTCCATTTACGCGATATATATATAATATACAAAACTACATCTAGCTCTCCTTCGCCTATACTCGCGCATATTATACGGAGTGATCGTGCGGCGTGGGTATACACAACGCGAGCTATTTCGCCGCAAAACTACTCTCCTACGTATACATACTACAGCATTATATATACATCGTCGCGTGCGCAGCTCGCAGCTACAAAGTTAACGCGCGCGCGCGAGCCCGCGTGAGTGTTGAAGCCACCCCAATAGCATATACTTCATTTATACTTCACCCTTTTCTTCGTTTGGTATATAAATATATTATTATTATACGGTTGCTCGCTGTGCTGTATGTGCAATATGTGCTTCGCGCGTGCAGCGCACGTGTTCCGGGAATCCTGGAGCGCGCGAGTCGATTAATTGCCATAGACAGAGTAGTAGTAGCGCCGAGAGAAGTTTAAAAATATAACACGCGCGCCTCGCACTGCGAGCGGGCCCCGCTTATATATACAGTATGGGGCTGTACATTTACACTGCAGCGGTGCAATACACAACGCAACGTCCGCGTGCGCGCGTTGTTAGGATTTAATTGGTCGAGTACGCGCGCGGCATTATCAGGGAATAATTTGCACTTGGCCATATATACATAATATATATAAAAGAGCTTTGCACGCTGCGAGCGCCGAATGATAGAATGGACTGTGCGTGTGCGAGAGTCTCGAATATACGTACGATTTATGCAACGCGTTTTCTACTCTACTTACCGCTGCTCCAGTGCAGATCGCGCGCAGGTGTGTGTGAGTGTATACGCGCAAGTTTAATACGGCCCTCTTCATTTTTTTTTATCTCTCTCACGTATACTCTTGTTTAGTCTTGGTTTGTTAGTTTTAAGCTCCCTTATTATGTAGACTTAATTCGATTGTATGTGTGTATACGATCGTGCGCGCGCGCGCTTTCGTTTGAAATTTATTTTCAATTTGTATTATGGCCGACATTTTAATGAATAGTAGAGGATAATTAGCGGCCATCCGAAAGTTGTAATCGTAAATTATTCAATATCTCGTGTGCTGTTCGCGAGGGCTTTACACAGCAGATTTCGTGTCTGTCTGATATACGAATGTATAATATTAGGGACGTAGCTATACGCGTGTGTATATCGAAGCTACGCATACGTATCTGATATAATACAAACTGGAAACGAGCAAAAAAAGGGACTATTCGAGAAATACTCAATTTAATTACTCGTTAGGTAGTAAGTATACCAAAAATACAAGAAAAAAAAACGGTATGCATAGGGAGGTAATGTTTGCCTACGTGAAATTCCACTCTTCAGTTGATCGGGGTATATGTGTGTTTATCATGCCGCTTGGCAGCGTGCTTATTAATACTGCCATTGAATAATGAAACTACAAAGTGAGCTACGATTAATATCGCGCGAAATGCCAACCATCGCTGAAACGCGCCGGGTAATACGCGTTGAGCCGTCGACTTTGCAGCTCTTTGCAGCATGAACGTCTGTGTCTGCGTGTGTGTGTGCTTGTGTATAATATATTGCGATATATAGTGGTGGTGGCGCGTTTTGTGGCGTGAGTACTTCACATATAGAGCTACAAACGAGCTACCTCTCTTTTCGCTTCCTTATGTGTGTATAATACCTGCACAACAGATTACACACACGCGCGAGCTCATTTAATACGCGCATACAAATATATATACGTATCGCGAACGGCCTATAACACACACACACACGTAATTAAGGATATTAATTGACTCGAAAAAAACTATCACATGTACATTTATCAGCTGGAAGATTATGGCCGCGTGATTATATACAATGAGTAGTCCATAGGGCGTATTATATGTATGTACCCGCGTATACATCTATTTTCCGTTTAAACGAAGTCGAAGCTTTATGTATATGAGTGATTCTGTGAAAATGTCCTTATGATTCGAGGCTAAAATTACGATTGAAATTGTTTTCAGTTGACGCATATATAATGGACATTGATTCGATTGTTCATTGAGGTTCTAGAAACATTGATACACTGAATAGGGCAACAATTTTTTAAGCGACTCAATTAATAATTTGCTTCATTTTACTTAAAAAATGTATTCATTTTTCAAATTTGAACATCGATTTTACGTGGATAAAATTTTCAATTATCATCTGAAAGTCTCATACATAAAATTATATACATTTTATACATTGATTAAATTGACATTTGTGAGCGATGCACTGTATCGATGTGTTTTTTTTTAGAATACTTTTTGTAGAGTATTTCTTTCCGTTAGTATCCTACGAATGTGTGATATCACTTATTTTGTTTTACATGTTCCAAATCTAATAATAAGCAAGATTTGGAAGCTCTTTATGCATATTTAACACAAAACTGTTACTAATTTTTCCATGATGCATTATGATGCTTTATACATCAGAACCATACTTTTTAAATTTTTATCTTTACCAAACATTGCACAAATACTACTTTACAGTGAATTCGCTACTAAGTCGAGCAGTAGTCGACAACGAGTATTTGCTACTCGCTTCATAATTTCTTGGAATGTCGTTGAATAAGTTATTGAAATAACTTACTAATTTTTTCATTAAACCTAATAATCATCGGTCCTCAATTTTCTTTGGTAAAAATAATCACGCGTGTAAGTTACATTATAACTCTTACATTACGTCCAGCTCGTGCCTCATTTTTCGCTACCATAATGATTTTAAAGGTTTCACGCGGATCTCCTCTTCACTAGTATCTTTAATTTTACTTATTGTTCTATTCAAAAGATGATTCTTCATCTGCTCCTTGCTGTGGAGCGTTTTGCACTTCACTACCATTGGTTTTTCGCAACAATTGTGCTAGATCATCTTCGTTTACACGCTTGAACAAATCGAATAAATCGTCGTCACTCATAACTCCCGCCAATCTGCGGCAAACTGTGTAAGGCAAATGCAATTTATAATAATCGGTTTCGAGAAGATCGGCTGCGATCAAAGTCAAATGTGGCTTTATCAAAATGTTTGCAATGTGTCTTTTTGCAAAAATGTTGAGGAACGCACTAGCGCACTCTAAACGGTCCATCGCTGGGGTAAGCCAATATTCGATACTTTTTACTATCGAGTAACCTTTATTGTAGTTCATTTGACAAAGTTGATAAAGGGAGACGTCTTTGGTTATTTTGATGCCTTTCAATTTATCAACTTCTTCCATCCACTCATCAATCTGTTCTATATCGGGTCGAAAGTCATGATGGTGAGATGGCACTCTCGGTCTTAAATTGTGGCATCGTTGTAGCAAATAATCCATAGCTTCTTCTTTAATACAAAACCCAAATTCCAAAAAAAAATATATTTTTTTGATAATTTCAAAGTAGAGTAGTACATTTAGTTCTTCATCCGCTAAAAATAAATAAATAAATAAATACATAAAAATAATTCAACTATATGTGAGTTAAAGTTACTCTATTGGAAAAATTCAATGCCATACCGGTCTCTTCGCCGATCAGGTAGTCCATATCATTTCCTCGGACCATCATCCAACATTTCATCATTCTGTATCTGGTGAGCAAGTCCAATTCGTATTCTTCCGACCGCAACAATTCCACAATCTCGATAATGTTCAGAGTAAAAGGATAGCACTTCATCTCGAGCGACGAGAAATTCCCACCGAACATTCGATCCTGGTCCAGATTGTCCAGACTCGCGCTCCTTTTCAGCAAATTCTTCGCGAGACTCGCGTCCAAACGAGCGATCGCCACCTGTAACGGAGTGTCACCATGACGGTCGAGCGCCTCGAGGTAGGCTCCTCTTTCGACGAGCAGCTTGACCACCTCGTCCACCGGTTCTCTGTAGTCGCAGTAGCTCAAGCCTGAGGCGCAGTCGCACCTACACGGCCGAGCGAGCGCGTGCAGAGGCGTCGACCCGTCCAGCCGATCCCGCCCGTTTGGATCGGCACCGTGATCCAGCAAAATTTCCACGATTTTCGTCCGTGCGTGCTGCGCGGCGACGTGCAGCGGCGAACACGGGTACGTGTCGATGTTGACGTCCGCAGGCTGCGCTTCCACGAGCAGATTCACCGAGGCTGAGAGACCCGCCATGCAGGCCCCGTGCAAGTACGTGTAGCCGTGATTGTCTCGGTAGTTTCTGATGCTTCTGAGACGTAGCTCCGTTCCCGAGGGAGTTTGAAGCTCGACCCCTCGTTCCGTATCCAAGAGATACACAATGACGTCGAAGACGTCCTCTTTCGTATGGAAGGACTCGGTTGATTCCAATTTTTCAACCAAATAATGCAGAGCGGACTTGCCGTCTTCGAACATAAACTCGTGTATGTTGAAACTGCTCTGTCCGATCAATTGCATCCTCTCGAGCTGTTTTATTATTTGCAAGTAGTTTTCTTCGAGGGAAAATTTGAGAAAAAATATTTTGTCTTCGTCACTCGGAAACAGGACTGTGGAAGTCATTAAATCTCTCAAAATTTTACCCTCTAATCGATTGTTAGCACGCACACGTTTTTTGTATAATTGACAAAAAACCTTTCGTCTGGCATCCATTTCGCTGTTGCTTTCCAAACGATGCACAAGGCGTGCAAGTGCTAAAGTCTTGCGTGCCCAAATATTTGCCGCATCGGCATCCATTTTGGATTGAATTGTCAATAAACTCGACGAATTTACACGAAACAATTTCAATCACTGATTATCGAGCACGTCTATCTATAGAAAGTTTTGAGTTACTGGCTCTATTGACAAACATCGAAAAACTGAGATGTGATGACAGCGCGGCGAGAGCCCAGAGGCGAGGGCGCTGCCAGACTCTACCCGATGCCGAATTAGAATAGGAGGTGGAGTTATACACTTTCTATTAGATATATTTCACAAGTTCACAAACCACTGATGTGCTGGGATTATTCTTTAAAGCTCTATCGACGCTCGTGCCACCATAGCATTTACGTACCACGGCAAAATATCGCGGGCCAGTCAGACATGGAAACGTCACATTTGACACAAGACGCCCAAACAACGAAAAACGAGCACAGCTTTATGTGGTCTTCGCCTGTTTTTCTGTGTAGCTTAAATTTAATTCAATAACATTCTCAAAACATGCTATCAAATTTTTAAGTTATAAATTTTAACAGAACGAAACTAATTTATTATTATTATATCAATGAAGAAATGATTTGATCAAAGATAAATGATATTTGAGATAAGTAAGATGACTTGTGACATCTCATATCTAATGAGTAGGGCAGTGTGGTGGCGCTATTGCTCGAGACGTCGGTATCGTTTTAATCCCAACTGTCGAGGTCGAACTTAAGGAGGTACCTCCGTCGAAGAATTACAAAACGGAATCAAACCAAATTATGCGAACATGCTCATTTTTATAATAGGAATGCACTGTTAAAATTTGGTGTAATTTCACTACTTAGTTTAATAGGTATGAGTAAAACATTTTAACATTGTTTCTGATGCAAATGGCGATAATTTTGGCATATCTCATAATTTACAAAACGGATTTGCGTGAAACTTTTTGAGCCCTTCAATGAACTATCACAGTACCTCGTGTTAAAGTTTTGTAAACTTTCACTACACGAGTACTGAGCAATTAATTGAAAACTATATATGAATGCCCATTCTAGTGATATTCAGTGTAAATCTCGGGCGTCAGTAAACGAGCGACATAACCTGCATACAAAAGCTAATCAATGTAGTATGCGAAATTGCTAACAACGAGCAGACGCGCCTGCCTAGGGACTTTTTTAGTTAGGTTAGTTCTAGTTATTTCTATCATACGAGCGACTACGAAAACTTGACTAGAGTAGTAGTCGGAGGTACCTCCTTAACCCACGTCCACTGCCCGAACAATAAATTGACTAGCGTGTTATCCGTAGAAACCTATCAAATTTTGCACAAATTTTGTTTTAATTTTGTTACGAATTATAATTACGGACAAATGAGACATTAAAATTTGATTCAAAAATAAGAGTTGCTATGAGTATTTTTCAGTATATCTCTCGGTTTTTATGAACATGGTTGTTTTTTAAGTATTCTTATCAGTGTAACAATGAGCAAATTCAATTATTTTTTATCCGAATAAAAAGGTGTTCGAAGTCAATGTCGAATCAAAAGTGTTTAAAATCGTTCAAAAACTACTCGTGAATTTTCAATTAATTTTTTCGTTAAAACGTTTAGGGTTATTCAAAATCGAATGCAGTATTTGATTTACTTAAATGTCCTGAAAAATATTGAAAAATTTCACTAATATTCAGTTATTTAAAATGTATCCAGGACCTCAATGAACAATAATTAACGTTGATGACTCTCAAATTTTTAGAATTTTTTTTTACAGAATCGCTCATATATTGTACTGTGAGCGATCGCAAAAGGGGAATCCTACTGTGCGCGCAGGACACGTGGATTATACATATACACGTATATACAGACATATATTTCGCCCTTTTTCCACGCTGCAGTTGTACAGTAGCTGCAACAGATATTAGTGCGGCTCACAGTGGGTAGTTTCCTTTCTGTCTCTCTCTCGTAGCTTCAGCAGCAGTCGCTCGTATCCAATTGCGTGCCCAGTCAAGTTCTCATCGCCGCTTAATTTTTTTCCTTTTTTTTTTCGTCGTTGTTGCTCGCTCGTCGTGATAAAAACTTCAATTATACACTGTTCGAGCTCTTCGCGTGTGCGCGTACATCACGCTAAATTTATATATACAATATATATGCGATATATATAAAATGCATTATAGGTGCTATGTACGCGCCGCGCGCGAACTTCACACTGTGCGCGTACTTATACGGCTCGGCGATGTTCATATATTATCGTCGTTATTGTTGTTGTTATTCGCGGCGCCTCGTGGCGCACATATTACGTACAGGTGTGGATTATAATGCGAAATTGCATATAATCTGTATTATAAAGCTTCCGATGCGCACGCTGCAACGTAGATATATATGCGTTTAATGCCGAACCTTTCGTAGCATCGTTGAAAATTGTAAAATGTTCATAATGTTACGTGTAAGTACGCGCGGCCGTGTAATTAAGCTCATCACATAATCTCAATGTGCTGCACACACGCGGGCCATTCGTGCGATAATGAATTTCTTTCTCTCTCTCTCTTTTTCTTTTCCTCGTGTGCATTATATAGACACTCGAATCGAGGATGCGAAGGAAAGAGAGAGAGAGAGAACGATAAGCTCTTCGGAACGAGAGGAAAAAAATATAACGTACTCGACGGCTATAGGGAAGAAAAAAAAAGAGAAGAAACTACAACATTCGCGACTCGATTAAATTAATTGCATCGCTCGGCTTAACGCAATTGTAGCGCAGGCCATGCCGCGCGTTAATTGCAGCACATCGAAAATGATCGTTCCCTATATACCGCGCCATGCTGCGCTGCGCGCTGCATTATCATCCTCATTATCATCGTCATCATCATCATCATTATTATTGTACCTTAGCGCCGCACGAGCGATTGATGTACTTGATGAGCATGGCCGTGGCGAAGGAGGCGCAGTACGAGACCAGTGGCACCGTGGCGAGGGCCTGACGGCCGCCCTCGTCCACCTCCTCGATGTAGAGCGGCAGATAGACCGTGGCCAGGGTGATGAACAGCCGACTGGCCACGTAGAGCATCGCGACGGTGGCCAGGACGTTGGTCTGGATGGAGGATTTGCGTCGCTGCTGGGGCGGTCCGATGGAGGTCTGCGCGGCGCTGGTGAAGAGACCGGCGCCCTCGACCGGCGATATGGCCGCGGCCTCGACGCTCGACGGCGTCGTGGCTTTGCTGGACGAGCCGCCGTTGCGGCCCGTGTAAGCTTCCAGGAGGCGAGCGTTGAGGAACGCGTGGAACAGGATGGAAGCCACGACACCGAGTAGGGTGATCACCACGGCGATGTTCTGCGAGAAAATAAAAAAGAGGGTTAATTATAATATAAAAAGAAATACTTTTTTATCGATACTCACGCGGAACCGAAATCGATCGATCGGCCCGAGCCTGACGCCGTCGATGAAGCTGCTCGGCAGCACGATCCAGGTCACGACGAAGACGATGACCGCAGCGCCGACCTGAGCCGAGTACCTGTTGATCACGCATTTGTTATATAATATCACATTATTATACATATTAAAAATTAAATACCGGCGCGTCTCGCAATCATTATCATTATGTACAGCTTTGTACATAGCAGGTGAGAGAGAGCTGATATTCGTGTCATAATGCAATAATATTCGCTGCGGTGTAAAGCCGCCGCGTATCGCACGAGCGTAAACATAGAAACAAATAGCTCGATTTTCGCCGCGCGCTCTGTTATTACTACACACACACAAACTCGTGCACACACAAACGGCTTTCAATTAAAAGGAAAAAAATCCTATCATCGCTTTATGATTCAATTTGTATATTAAACCGTAATAACAGGTTGTTTCTCGCGCGCTGTATTACACGGCGTGTGTGTGTGTATGATACTGCTATACGGTAACGCTATGTAATTTGACTGGGTATTATACGGACCTCATAATACATTTATATACAAAACACATAGTCCGCCGCGGTTCCTTATCAGCCGGCTACGATCTCGCTCTTATTACGCCGCGTATGTAATACCCATCTTTTTTGATATTATAAATCGACGTTGATCGCGTCCGCGTCTTTATTATCGTCATTACACGTGGTTTAATTTGATAGAAAAAAAAACAAGCGAGAAAACAACGATCCGGTAGCGAGCATTATATATGTATATAGCAAACCTAAGAGCGGTGAGCTCGGCCCTGAGGGCCGACGAGCTCGTCAGCGCGGGTATCATGGACAGGTGCGATATCTGCACCGCTGCCCAGCCCGTCTGAAAGAGGATGATGCTGAGCACGTAGACGAACATGGTGAGGCCGCTGTTGGGATTGCGCACGAAGCTGCCGAATATCAGCGGGAACGACAGGGTGACCATGACGCTGCCCACCACGTGCCAGGCCTTCTTCTTGGCGTACTTGTCGACGAGTATACCGAACACGGGCGTCATCAGGGCGTCCACCACTTGGCCTGCATTCGTTCCGAAGGGTCAAGCGTCACATCGTCATTGAGATTTTTCATATAATTTATTATGCGGGTGATTTATGCGGGGGTAGGAAGGAGGGGATACATGCCCAGTAGCAGAAGCGAGCCGGCCGTGATGGGTCTGAACAGGGCCACCCGCTGCAGAAAGATGAGCGTGTAGGAGAACCACATGGCGGCGACGAGATCGTTGAACACGTGGCCGAGGGCGTAAGCCGTGCGGGTCGTCAGGCTCATCGACTTTTCGACCAGCGGCTGTCGCTCGTTGGCCGTGGCATCGCCGCCACCGCCGCCGCTACTTTTCGCCAGTGCTTTCGGCATGATGCTGCTGCTGCTGCTGCTGAAGATCTCTCCTGCTTCCACGGTATTTCGACGATGATTCCCAGTGAGCCTTCTTCTGATTATCCAGCCTCTACATCGGAATCTATATCGAAGGCAAGAAGAAGAGAAATAAATCGTGAAATTTTGTTTTTTTCGCGTCAAGCCGTAAGTCAATTCGGACGACATTGTATATAATATATAAATGGGCTTATACAGTTATAATGAGATGCCTGCGCGGACCCGCTGATTCTCGAGAAACATAGTTGCGAAACGCGTATATCGTATATAACTTGTTTCTTGTATTTTGCTACTTCTTCGAGGCCAAAAGCGTGAATTATGGTTTCGAGATTCTACGCGCGATCTACTTCCGTTGCGCGCAGTTGTACGAGCCATAGCTCTATAGCTTTATTGGGAGGAAAAAAAATGCGTCGCGTCTAGCGCGTTTAATCTCATTTATTTATTTACTTACATTAAAATGCGATTATTTAATTTTCCTATCGGGCTAACGATTATGCGCGAATCGATTCGATCGCTGAAAGAAAGAAGAAACGATTGTTTAGCGACTTTTCTGTAAATTGTATATACATCGGAGCTCCACTTCCGCTGCAGCAGCGGCAGTGGCTAACGTGCGTTAATAAGTATAAGAATCTCATTTGAGCAACACAATTGCGCACCGCCCGTAAGCAATGTATGCGCCCGCGCGTGTGTGTGTGTGTGCGTAAGTATGCGCAAAGTATCGTTTAGCCGAAGATACAACGTACTTTACACGCGCGAAACACAGCAGCGCGTTTGTACGTATTATGCGAGCAGAGAGGATGAAAAAGAAGCAAAGAAGAAGCAGAAAAAGGAAAAAAAAAAAAAGAAACATACAGCACACACACATAGAGTAACAGACAGCGAGGTAACAAGACCAGCTGCGCAAAATATTATATGTGGGTCTCATTACGCAAGTTTACTCTTAAAGCACTTCCTCGTTGCTTCCTCCTTTTATATGTATCCTACTATGTATACACACCTATCGTATGGGCGGCAGGGTGTATGTATGTGCCGCTTATATACATACTTTGCTTTTCACCTGCCTCGTGCGCGGCGCATTGCAGTTCGGATCATTTGTGTGTGTCTGTGTTGCTTTGCATTACAGGACGAGTAAATAAAATATAAAAAAACATGGATTAATCGTTAATGGCGACCGATGTTTCGGGTACTGTATTACAATGTGTGTGTTTGTCGTTCTCCTTACTTACGCGAGGGATAATTTGGACGTTCGATCGAATAGATACGCGCGATAAATACCGCTCTCGAGAATGGCAATTTACACATTTTAAATTAACTCGCCGAAAGACTTGACCCGATCGTATACACCGCGATGAAGAAAAAAAAATTCGGGCGAGAATCGCTCGTGTGTACATAATATCTATACTGCTACTATGCAGCAGCAGCGAGACTGGCGTAATCCGTGAGCAGATGCCTCCGCTTTATATCGTCATTCAATCGAATCTCGTTTTGAGAAAGAGACAGAGAGAGAGAAAGGATATACACGTTTACCCTTGTAAACGTCGCTTCTTTTTTCTCCTTTATATTTCGTATTATATATACGTCGTCTCTGCGGTTCGACAGGAAATTAATGCTAATTTTGTCTAGTCTCGACGCGTCTCATGTGTACCCTGTAGGTATTGAACAAGAATAAAATTTTTTTGCTTTCGAGGGGTACGTAAGATGCGAGCGACCCGATAAACGTGAAAATTCAGAAGTTACAAAAAAAAAAAAAAAATACATGAAAAATATACCGTCGATGCACGATCGGCCGAGTAGTATACTCACAGGAATATTTTCAACAGTCTGAACGCCATATTGATGGCGAAAAGGTGTCGCACACCTACGAGCTGATAACTCGTGCACGCGGAAAAGTTCCGGACCGGCCGGAATCAGTCACCACGGCCAGCCGTGGCTGCGACGCACCTCGACTCGTACTTATTACTTTTCAAAACTCGAATCATGTCAAATACACTTTATAACTCAACACCATCCGAGATCGGTAAGAGAAATAAAAAACAACTACGACGAAAATCCAGAACGATCGGAAGAATATCAACACACACACACAGCTCGTCGATCGCATATACCGATCGTCGCGTTCGCGAGCGCTCGACTGGAAAAATCATCGCGAGTTGAGATCTGTCCCGCGGCGTGCAATCCATAAAAAGCTCGAACAGCAGCTGTGGGTGTTGCAGCAATGACTCTCCGCGAGCGCACAGCCTCTTTTTCTCTCTCTCTCTCTCTCTCTCTGTCTCGCTTCTATATACTGCCGATCTCTGTGTGTATATTTATTTATGTGTGTGTATTATATAGCTCTGTGTATTACGATGTGTATAGCGAACAGCGCTGCGACGATTGTGTATAATGCGATATGTCCTTTCACCAACCGCATCGCGGCGGCGGCGGCTACATTGCAGAGATATATGAAATTGCGCCGATCACGCAATCAGGCAGGTACGTTGTCGTCTCGGGCTGTGTACTACATCGGCGACGACGTCGATGAGAATCAAAGTATCTCGTATCTCTACATTCTAAACTATTATTGTCTATTTGTTTAGAAAAAAATAGTATATTACTGCCCTAGGCCGCGAAAAACAGAAAAGTCCCAGGGCACGTGTAATTAGTGGCCGAGGCGAAGCCGAGTTCCCGTTTTGCGCAGCGGCCGGGAAGTAGGCCCTTTCGGGCCGCTGGTATGAAAAATTTTTTTTTGTATTCTTTCCCCTACGACTTTGTTTCGGACGTTCTCCACAGTGTCTCTTTGTCAAGTTCATCGTCGATTTCTAAATATCGTGTTATGTGCACGCACGCATAGCTTAACGTCGTGCGCGCCCGCATGCCGGAGTCGTGTGTGCCCCGAAGGTCGTTGCTACCAAGCCGCGTCTTCGTCGACGTCGGTCGCCGCGGAAGTTTAAATCTGCGAAATCGTACAAGTGACGTCGCGCGAGCTTACTAAATATATAGATATAACGTTAAAGCACTGTTACATGTTTATGGGGATTTTAGAAACAGCTTTTACAACTCCCCAGTACACAGTCGAGTCTGTATAGAGTATGCATAAAGGTCGGATCGGTAACAACGGTCGCGCGTCGTTTATGCGTGATATGCGCGCGAGTCAATATTTTTATATCGAATATTCTAATAAAAATCAACCTATATGGTCAAGTGGTATTCTAATCGCGTGTATCGATTTTGAACAAACTATCATTTTGCTGTCAAAGTTTTTACATTATATGCCTCGAGGAAAGTTTGCGATTAAAACCATAATGCAAAAAACTGGTTGTAATGGATCTCTGAAATCATTTCACTCGATCTCGGTCAATCATTTTCTATCTATAAAGTATGCAACGAACTGATTTGTGGTCGCCCAGTTACGACGACGTGATTTTCCCGACATTTTCCAATGGACGAACAAAGCTCGATATTAATATTGATGGCAAACCAAATATCAGTGGGCCAAAAACTGAAAGTACTGAATCGCGTAAACTCGATTATATGACGAAAAAAATAGCAGTGCACCAGCGCGTGTTCATTCGTCGATACGATAATTGTACAAAAGCCCAAGTGTTACGAAAAGCGCGTAAAGGGATACGAGCGAGCGCGCGGCCAACCTCGACTCGAGGCTAGGTATATTTTTTCACGCGGCTCCGCCTGCATAACGCCATAGCGATCGCGTTAATAACGCCTGACTCGAGCCTGCCTGTATCGCGTAATGAGACCGATATTTTCTTCGCTAATAATGTTTTTGTACTATTGGTTCTATGAACGATGGTCGCTGCTGTTCACCGAAAAAAATCTGCCCCACGAAACGAAATGACCATCCCCAAAGGTTCGAAATTCATGATGAATACTTTTTTTCCTCTAAAATTATCTATCACGGATACGCGATTATCGATTTGGGATCAGTGGAAAAAAGAATTAGTCACGGTTTCGATTCTTCCGTATACCTGTAGCAAAACCGAAAGCTTCGAAAAAATTGCTCCGCTTCAACTATATCTACATCTATAATGTCCGAATCCAATACAAAAATGAATTACTAGAAAATCCTGAATCTTATAATTAACAAAACTCACCACATGATTTCTTGGACTATCACAAAATTAATTGCACTGGTTGTCGTCGATAACAATTGGACAAAGTCGAACTTTTTTTCGATGAAAAGTATCCGATCGTCGAGTCCAACGGGGCGGCAAATACAGCAACAACAGGAGTTTTACGTTCGACGCGACTATTCTTCGTGCACTGCTGCGTCTAAAGTCGTCGCCGTCGGTGGGTGCACACAGTGAAAATCCACGGCCGAAGGTGCAGTGCGGTGGTCGACTACGACGACGACGACTATGATATGACAACGTAGGTATAACGGCGTCGGCGGCGGCCAGCCGCGCGCACACCGTCGTCCGCACGTAATATATAACACACTCACACAAGAGATCGGTAATTCGAGCCCTCCGCGAGAAATGCGAGCGCGTGTCAATGCGTGTACGTGTATAACTGCTATGAATACAAGTACACACGCACACACGCAGGTACACACATTTAGTGTACGGTCAAACACCATCCGCAGTTGTGTGTGTGCGTGTGTGTATTACTTATATACCTATGTGCATGGATGAATCGATACTCACCGGTGCGTTCCGTTCTTATACGGACTCTCCGATTTTTTACTTCTCTTCTCTATTTACTCTAGACGCTGTGTGTGCGTACTGTGCATGCATGTGTAGTAGTATATGCTTCTCTTGTCCGATGGCCTCGTATACGAGAATATGAGTCGCGTTGATTATATCGAGGAATTGAGTGGAATAATCCATGGTAGATTTGGCTGTAAAAAATGTTTCACATTTTGCATTTCTATAAAAATAAATCATTGTTGTTTCAAAAAACAATTTGATAATTTTGAAGTATATGTCGTTGATCTTACTCTAAATTGTACACTGTGAAGATGATAATAATTTTCATAGTTCTTACATAAATGCCTTATTTCATATATGCCCATTGATCTGAAATGTTTATATTACTTGTTAATGGATTTAATAGATTAAAGTTAATTATTACAATTCAGACGATTTACATGGCGAAATTTTATTAAAAAATGTATCAACAAAAAATAGATTTGTTTGCTTAGAATTGAATTCAAGCATATTTATAAAAATAATATCGATTTTGACTTTTGGTAATTTATGTCTACCTTATACTTATACTTAAGAATTTAAAAAACAATGCATTAACCGACAATTAAGCTAAATTAAGTTTGTTAATGACTTTTAATGTAACTCATGGTAACCTTTTTGTTCTGATCACCAGATGGGCTACTCCTAAACTAATTAAAACGAAAACTCTTTTCTCTAAGTAAAAAAAATCTTTTCTATCCTATTTTTAGCTCACATTAAATTGTGCCCTCACGCATACAGCTTTTTTTGATGGTACAAAAGTTTTTTACATTCATATTCTAAAAAACATTAAAATTTATCTGTTTACTATCTATTAATAATCAATGCAGTAACATAAAAATAGTAGCAAGTAAATTAATAATTTAGTTTTTTTAATACTAATAAACCATTAAGTAACAATTTAATATCATTGATAAGTAATTTCTGGAATGCCTAATGAAGTATTTTTCATTGAAATGATAGCTTTGCTATATAATATTTAAAAGAATTGAATGACTAATATGCACTTTGTCTTATCAGACTTTCTTAAAAAATATATACAAAACTTTACATACTCTACTCTCGAAGTATATAAAATATTCTTTTCTTTTAGTATTAAATCATGACGATTGAAGTAGAGTACAGTTCTTTTTTGGTTATCACATTGAGTTCTTGATAGTTATTTTTCATGATGATTCCTTCTCAATAAATTGTTCTCTGAAAGATGCAGCAAACTCGCCTCCATCAAATTGTCTCAAGTGAATCTAACACAAAATAATAAACTAATATTAATATTTTGAGTATGGATGAAATGAATGATTCTTAGATATTGATGATGATACCTGCAAATGTAAATTTACTTCTGCTGGTCTACTCAAGTAAGGAAAATTACCACCATTTTTTAAATGTGCTAGTTTAGCATTTGGGTAAGATTTGTACATATCTTCTCTGACATCATTGGATAGGGCATATTCATCAAAAACGTCGATTATTGTAATGGGTAGATGGCGTATTTTTTCAGTTTGAACGGACGAATTTATACAATTGATGGTCAACCTTGATGCTAAATCTTGTTGAGAGAGGCTGTCCAGCTGTAATTTTATTATTAAGTTATTCATACAAGAACATTCAAAAATCTAAGTTTTTGAGTGAATTAGTTATGTTTTACCCTTTCAACCATGAAGTCAATAGCATCAACAATTTCATTATCTACTTTATCAGTTCTAAAATTACCCATAACCATTTTTTTAAGAACCAATGATGGCAAGATCCAAAACCTGTAAAAACATTCATAAATTATCGTTTACAAATAAATAAAGTTAAGAGGTACTTTGAAAAATATTTTCAATTTACTTACATGCCAGCAGAGTCATGGTAACTGAAAATTGATGTATCCAAAAAAGTATTACACAAAATTAGCGAAGCTACTCTTGAACTTTGAGTATCATATTCAGCAAATTTCTGAGCAAGAAAGCCACCTGTCACAGAGTGAAAACTATTAATAAAATATATTTTGACTTGAAATATCTCCTTAGCAAAAGTTTGAACAAATGAAATTATATTTTCTCTTACAGCTTTTAAAAAATCAGACTTATTTTGAAAAAAGTTACCCACCTAATGAAGCACCAAACAGATGAACTTTTTTTAATTGCAAATAATCCAAAAGTCTTCTGAAACCATTGCACCATTCTTTAACATCCCAATAAACAGGAGGTTCAACCTAAATGAAAAGAAAATTAATGAATGAATTGAAAATTAAAAAGATAATGAATAAGAATTTTGAATAATTAATATTTAATAAGAAGAGTTATATAAACTTACAGCAATAACTCTGTATCCTTTAGCAGACAGCCCTAAGATTTGCTTGAAGTAAATATCAGCTGTTCCGCTTACTGGAGGAAGGCACACTAGAGGACATTTGATTGACTTTGGACTTGAATCATAGACTTTCCACCCCTAAAAAAATTTCAATATTTTTAAATTTTATTTTTATTTAAATTATCTTAACTGTATAGTTTTTAAACTTATAATTATAAAAATAGAATAATAAAAATAAAATCATTAAGCAATTTAATCTAAACATGTATACCTACACAAAACTTGTTTCCAAGATTTACTCATTTACTTATTTCAATTAAGCGTGTACTATCAATTCATATTGATTACATAACTAACACCAAGAAAAAAAACATTGAACTCTTTGCAGAATTAATTAAAGAAGATACATATTCATGCTGCTAAATACAGTGTTAATCCAATTATAATGCTGGATTTTAAAAATAAGCATATTGACGTACAAAGTACCTTAAAAAAGATTTTAAATTGGCAAAATACTAATTACAAATATAAGTTAAATATTTGCAATGAGTTTACAACGTAGCAGTATGTAACTCTTTGCTAATTGTTGTTCATTTCAACGCCTCAAAGAATATTCTGATATTCTTATGTAAGAAAATGCTACATGAGTGTATAATAAAACTACTTTACCAATATGAAAGAATATGAACTTTAATATTCTCATACATTCAGTCATCATTGTGTGATCAATTATAAATTATCAAAAAATTGTAATACCAAATTTTTGTTAAAAAATGATGAATTAATCTTTAAAACATTACTGATTACAATCAAACTACATACTAGAGAACACAACAAGCTGCTAACCTTCAAACCATCGGAGTCAACGACTATCTTTCTCAGCGGTATGGAACTGCGAAAACTCTGATACTCTCTGGATTTGGATAACTCGCTCGTAGTGATGGGCAACATTTTCATACTTTTCTCCTGAGTTTTCTTCCAATCTTGCGATGGCTGTGTGTGCTGTCCGTAACCCTCCTCGCTGCACTGAACAAACTATCGAGAATATTAAACTCTTTTACCGTTAGAAAAAATGAGTTATAATGTCGCTCGTCGTCGAAGCGATGACTCGTTTTTGCAAGTACGATTACCACATCCTTTCGCGAGGCGATAAGAAGCACACAACACAACGGTGTCGTCGATCGTGTGCTTTGCTCGAGCTAGGGAGCGAAGAAAAAAAGACGAGAGACACGCGATGCCTTTTTGCACGACGCGAGCCGTGTTTGTTTACACCAAGTGCCAGAAGCCGACAGCAGCAGTGTTATTGTTCTCCGCGCGAGGCATCGGAGTAGTATCATTGGCTAGCAGCACTCACGGACGCACAACACAAACACCAAAGCCGGCAACACACACATACACGCATCGTCTTCGCGCTCTTATCGAGAGGCTTTCCGGGAAGGCAAACCTTTATAAATAATAACCACTCGATTTTTCAACAATCGAACAAACAATGCACGATTTGTATAACGAAACTCCGTTTATCTGCACGTTCGACGTGCGAATGCGAGCTTGCCATAATGTATAACGATCTTGGGAGTCGGCGGCAGGTGCAGGACGGGTTGCATCGGTCGCAGGGATAAAAGTCGCGCCGCCGCCGCGAAGGAGGAACGACGACAGGTTGTTGCATTTATGCGCGAGGCTAAACGGATTCGAATGTCAATTTAAACGATCGCGAATCCCACCGAGGAATTATGTAAGTTAACTGCGTGTGTGTGTGTGTGCACTGTATCGTACGTACTAAAAAAATAATAATAAAAACCAGCCAAGATTTTATGTAATCGCGACGACGACGACGACTCCAATAGGCGTTTGTAATGTAACGGCTACTTCGCCTTGATTCGAATCGATTCGCGACCGTGTTCTCGTGCGTGTGTGCGTTGGAAAAAATTATGTCGCAAATGCGTGTTTAATTAATCGCGCCGATTGCACTCCGCGAGCAGTGTGATGTATTGCGTTTCGCACATTTGTTTCAGATTAGTACATAAGAGAATGACCATATTCGACCTTTTTCCGAGCAAAAAAATCCCGATTCTACAATTCGAACGTAAAAAACGACCACTCGTGGAATCCAATTCAAAACCGATACAGAACTCGAGCCAATCGATCGTTTTCGAATCTCGATGTATAGAAGGCGAAAATTCAAAACTTCTTTACGAATTTCTGGTCAACGTAACCCACATAACGATAGTAATCTGTCCGTCATCGTTCATCTAGTGGGACGTTAGCCTATACAACAAATTTCTCGCGGAGCCGGAAAAAGCCGCTTTCGGAGTTCAGTATACGATTCTCGCTCGTGCCCCGCGCAGTTAGTCGCTTTCAAATAACAGTCCCCAAAAGACAGCTCCGAGTGGCGGTTGGCGTGTTTAGTGTATAAGTGCGTACGCGAGTGTCAAGCTGTATCTTGTATTGTAACGGAGAGAATCGCTGCGCGGAGGTGAGATATATAAATACACTTGTTTAATTCAGCGATTCGAACGCATATTTCGATTCAATTTTGCAACCTTACATCGACGAAATCTGCTGGCAACTGCTGTGAAAAATAGGTCGAAGAATTTCTGATGAAATGAAAATTCTGCTCGTATGACCCAATTCAATCGATGTGTACGCGACACCTGTAGCATCCAGCATATAACATATACACACACGAAAATCCAGCGCGCGCGAATCGCGACACGTCGTCGTCGTTGCCACCCGTGTGGCACTGTATAAACTGCGCGAATACGAACATAAAACGTAAAAACGGTCAAAACACTCGAGAAAGGCATGAACTGGCAGCGGCACGAGCTGTTTTGTCAGGGTCAATGGCATCGTGTCTCTCGTTCGTTCGAGCGAGCAGCGGATCAATGAAACACATCATCGATATAATTTTTGCCGAGGCCACTACGCAGATCTTCGCGCGAGAGAGAAAGAGAGAGTTCGTTAAGAGTTATAAAGAGTGATTGATAAAATTAAGGAATTTTTTTCGCGTTCGATCGGAGTGAAAATCTGTGCTGTTTTTTTTTGGACTTTGGATTCTAACGGTGTGTGTATCTTTCATCGTGTTTTTTGAAATTCAAACGTCGCAATTCTTATCATTAGAATACTTTTGACTCACGCGTAGGGAATCAACGATCAAAAGAGTCGATTAACTCACTCGAATCTCGCCTATTAATAGATTTATCGAAAAACCTTCTCCAGAATCATACACGACGAAATTCCGATCGATCAGCTGTTTTTTGTTTATAGATGTGCCAATCGCCCCGAGGAGTTCTACATTATCGACCAGCAGCGTCCAGTATAAGCAGTCGTTGCAGTTAGACGCAGCTCGATCGTGATTCGTGCCGGACAGCAGCAGCACCAGCAGTAGGCACATCCTACCACGTGTGTAGACTGTGTACCGTGTAGTGTACCCGCTCTCTGCTTCTGTGTCGCGCACCAGCGATCTCCTCGTGTGTGTGTGTGTGTTTACAATACGACGATAAACCTGATCGGTTCGTATATCGTACACACGGCGCTCTGTACATCCCAGAACAATAACAGACCCGCGCGGATGAGAATCTTTCGTCGTTGATTTTTACTTTTCGACGTATATATTCAGGCAGACTCGGGAGATTAAGATTAGAGAGAGACAGCGGATCAACATTGACTTTTTTCTCAGGTAAGAGCAACGAAATTAAAAGTAATAACGGTGCCGATATGTAATTCGATTGATTCGTGTGATTCGATGTTATGTAGTTGTTTACGCAAGATGATCGCCACGAAGCTGCCAGAGGTCCAACACCGAGAGTGCTGTCAAACTCACGTCAAAGTAAACGACTGCAAGTTCAATTGGACGATATACAATTTCAGCTTCTTCAAGGAAAAGCCCGGAGAGCCGCTGGAATCGACGGTAAGCGCGTATTATTTACACGCCGCGAAAAATCAATCGTAATAAATCGAAAATCTCTCATCTGCGTATAGATTTTCTCGCCGACGAACGATCCGGGCCTGCAGTGGCGCATCGTGCTCTATCCATCGGGCAATCATCACGAGTACAAGGACTACCTGTCGCTGTTTCTGCACCTGGTGAGCTGCGACAAGCCCTCGGTCGTGGTGGACTTTCGCTTCTGCGTCGTCGACAAGCACGGCCGGGACATCAACGAGCACAAGCCATCGCGCAAGTGGGTCTTCTATCAGAATCGCATGTCGGGCCATCCGAAATTTTTGCGTCGCGACTACGTGCTGAATCCGGCCAACAATCTGCTGGTCGCGGATCGGCTCAGGCTCAAGTGCTTCATCAGGTCGGCCGACGGCACGTTCGAGCACACGAATTACGACTGCAACGTGCCCCAGGTGCCGGATCTCACCAAGCAGCTGGCCGAGGACTACGGCAAACTGCTGGAGAGCGAGCGCTGCAGCGACGTGGTGCTAGTGGCGCGCGACGGCGCCAAGCTCCAGGCGCACAAGGTCGTGCTCGCAGCGCGCAGCCCCGTGTTCGCCGCCATGTTCGAGCACGAGATGCGCGAGTCGCGCGAGAACGAGGTGCAGCTGCGCGACTGGGACGCGGAGCTGATCAAGCAGCTGCTCGAGTACATCTACACGGGCCGAACGCCCTGCTTCAAGGGCAAGACGGTACCGCTGCTGATGGCTGCGGAGCAGTACGCCCTGGACGGCCTGAAGACCGCCTGCGAGTACGAGCTGTGCGTCAACATGAGCGTCGAGGACGCGGTGGAGCTGCTGCTCATGGCCGACATGCACAACGCCCAGAATCTGAAGCAGGCGGCGCTGAACTACGTCAAGACCAATATCCGCGAGATCATCGACACGCCGAGCTTTCGACAGTTAACCGATGTCAAGCCGTATCTCATGGCCGATATACTCAAGGCGCTCGTTTAGCAGGAGGCAGGCGCGCCCGCCTACCAACCTCTTCTCGTATTTTATGGTTAAATGATCCGTCAAAAGATCTCCTTCCTAAATTAATTATTAATCTTTACTTATAGTGACCCTATCAATTATGTCTTGATTTAGGATTAATATACTGTGATTTTAACATACAGTACGCGATTCTACACATGCGCAACGATTTGTGTAAAATGCTACTTTATGACTACTCATATAATTGTAAAATTTAAATGTCAATGTACATATACAACGCGGGCGAGAACAACCGTGAACGGTTTTTTTTGATCTTGAAAAATTCGTGCCGCCCCTCCAGCATAATTTGTAAAATTACGCGCCAATCGAGGGGGGCTTGGCAGGCCAATTTTTCGAGATGCATGAGAGTCTCTCGTTCGCGTCGTCGCGCGCGCCCGCAATGAAAGATCGATAATGTTATGCATAATATATACGTCATTCGCGCGCGCGCGCGCGCGGACGCGCACACGAGAGCCCGATCGCGCTACCGTATGCGTACCTGAAAAATATCAAATATTTTTTAATCATGTTTATATATAGCTTTAATAGTTTATTGATCGAGTTGATTTTATATATTGTTTAATGTATAAATGCTTAGCAGAAATAATAACATTTTATATAAAATTCACCGATTTTCATCGTGACAGTTGTCTTGTTTATCTATCCGAATTCACAAGGTGATAGGTTGTTAAATGAATTGAAATATTGACTTTTCATTCTAAATGAGCTAATTTATATTAATGACAGATTTCTTCATGTTCATAATATTATATTTCTATTACAATTGTCATGTCTAAAGATTAACTTGTTCTTTCAGCGATAAATTTTTATTACACAACAAAATTAAACATTTCATAGGTGATTTCTCAAACACTGCTATAAATTGAATCAATTGTAATAAGTGAAACAATTTCAGCCTCAACCAGGATTCAAACCAGAAACTTTTGATAGCAGACGAGAGTACCGAATTCTTATAGTAATTTGAATATACTAAGAGAAAAAGAAAGAAATAAAAAGTTACCAATTACACATATTTTAGATTATTGTTCAATGAAATTTCGAATGATGCATCGTCTCATGAATACCTTTGGTAAATTTAATTCATATAATCACTTCAATTTAATTTAAAAAAAATCATAAAAATAAGAAATATGAAACAAAATGATATTTCAATTACCGCAATGAATTTACGAATACATTTTTATAATTGATTTTTTTTCAATAAACTAAATAATTATTCTGATGAACCAATGTTGACTTTAATCTTATAGTTGATAGAATGAAGACATTATCTCCACTCGTTACTGTGTCGATTCAGACTTCGATGAGACAGACACAACGAAGCACACGTGTATAAAGTGAGAAAGGTGTGCAGGGCTGCCTTCGCTCGTCACCGCTGTACAATCATAATTATTGAGTAAGACTCAATTTTATAGTCAATTTTATAATACGATATTGGATAAAATTCAAACAAGAAAATAGGAAAATAGTAAGTAATAACTCGGACATCTATTAAACTCGGTAATAAATGCAATCATTCGCACTCTTTTAAAAAGGCATGTTTTACGTTTCTTCTCGACTGGTACATAATTTAGTAAAAAAAATTTCCTTCGATGAATTGGATCGTCAATTTTATCTTTGTTGATAATCGCATCACAAATCAATGACAAAATTTTAGTTTTTGAAATTGACAAACAGGCACAATAAAAATCAAGACGACCATATATCTTTTAAGAGCCGATCAAGCATCTGGCTTAAATGCTATTCACTATTAAACGATACCACCACGATCCCTAGTGGTCAATTTGAATTCTAGTGGTTCTCTTACGTGAAACTAGATTAACAAAATAGTAAAAGTTGACTTATACAATTAGTTTGCCTTTGCCATTTTCAGATTTATGGATATAAAGGTTTTTTAAGGAACAAGATTATTTTTGCTGAAATGTTTTAAAATACATTTTCTGTGATTGGCTGGCTTTTGTTAAATTTTTTAATAGAATAATGAGGCAAAAATTACGTGCAGTTTAAATGACTTGAAAACGATAATTTTATTGTTTCGAAAAGTGCATACCAATTCTCAAGTGCTTTAAATATAATAAAACCACTTCAAGCATACACCACGAGATGGCGAGTACTATTATCTATAAATCTGCAAGTGATAAAACCAATATAATTGTATAAATCAAAAGAGCAAAAATAGTGTCTCGTATATATTTGACATATATGGTATAGAATATAAAAAAATTTAGAATAATTATTAGAAGTAGGTAAAGTGGTTCTTTGAAAGAATTTTATATAGTCAAAAAATTGGACAATAAATAGTAAAATAAACAGGGAGTACTATGGCCATACAATTTTGAAAAGAGAGCAACACTCTTGATCAATAAAAGCTAGGCGTACAATTTTGAACTGTTCTACCAAGGAAAGAATAGATTTTTGAAAGTTTGTTTGTATGAATATCATTGTAATAAGAATAGTCTTAGCTTGTATTTAAGCAAAGTCTTGCAAGCAATAATATCTTTTATAAAATCAGCTAAAAATTTCTTAAAAAAAATCTTTTTAGAAAAAAATTCTAAATAAAATTCCATCCATCGACACCTTGTACAAATGTGTTGAACCATCCGTCATAGGTTTGTGTCAATATTTATCTTGGAGAGCGTAGCAAGCTTCTTTGTCTTGTCAGCTTGGCTGTCTTTTGATTTTTATCTTTGCACCTTTTTGTGCCACATCTGCAAGGAGCTGCTTTATACGCTCTTTTAACCAGAAATAAATATTTTGGACTAGTTACATATTCATTTCAAAGATATAGAGAGTTCGTAACATTTGATAACATCCGATACGATTATCATCTCTGCAAAAATTAATTCCAGAGATTTTTTTGAAAATACAATTGCCGCGCGCACGTGATTACTCACGCTCACACTTTTTATCGTATCGTAGCGGTGTGCTCAGTTCTGTATTAAAAAGTCATAGCTAGCAAGATATCCAAGTAAAGTAATTTCGTGTCGTGTATCTACGAGAACGTTGCTTCTCTATTGCGATGCTCAGTTAACCTTAGAACGTCGCCGCGTGAACACCTCGTGCATCTTCAAATTCTTATCAGTTACTTTGTGCGTTGTGTCGCGAGTGCCCAAAACGATCATGTCCACGAATAACGACGAGCTCGACCGACAAAGAATCGAGCTTTTGAAGACTTTTCGCAAAAACGTCGATTGGGCGATCGAAGAGGAGCGACGCGAATTTCTCCGTCGATTTTACCACTTGATCAGAAGTTGGAAGAGTCAATTTCCCGATCTCCGAGACATTTTCCGAGGAGAAGAAATCGATTGGCTCCTCGCGAAGGATATAAAAAATTATTTCAGCTCCGATCCCATTTTCAGAGGAGCTCCACTCGTAAAATACGTGATCAGGAGCGGCTACAAAGACGAGCCCGAGCTGGATAAAGACGGCCGGCCGTTGCTGCGTCGCACCACTGCACTGCATCATTTCGCTGGCGCTAAGCGCGACGACTGGATTACCGTAGTCAGTGACCTCTTCAAAATATACGACAGCTTCGAAGCGAACGACATCGGCGCGAACGGATTCACGCACTTCCACGTGGCTTGCGAATTCGACATCATGGACGTCGTCGTGAAATTTCTTCGCCACGGCGTGAATCCCAATTGCTGCTGGCCAAAAACCAGCCTGAGGCTGCTGCACTGGGCCCTGGTCAACGATCGCGCGGGTCTTGCCCGCGCCCTGCTGGAACGAGGCGCCGAGCCGAGCGTGGCCAACGCCGACGGATCGACGGCTCTGCACCTGATCGTCACCCACGCGTCTCGTAGCGAGGAATGGCCGCGGCTGTTCGAGGGTCGAACTCGGCGATCGACGATCGACGCCCGGGACAAGAACGGCGACTCGGCGCTGCACTTGGCCGTGAAGCACGGCGAGAAGGAGTTGGCCGAGTGGCTGCTGAGGATAGGCGCCGATCTGAATTTAGTCGACGCCGCGGGCGACACGCCGCTGCACATCGTCGTCCGCCGGGCTCGTTGCGATGGATGGATCAAGTTATTCTGCAGACATCGAAGTACTCGGGTCGACGCCCGGGACGCCAACGGCAACACACCGCTGCACTTGGCTCTGTCCCAAAGTGGCTGGGGCAAAAACTTGGCCGAGCCGCTGCTGAGACGAGGCCGCGCCGATCCGAGCCAGGCCGACGCGCAGGGATCGACCGCTCTGCACATCGTGTGCGGCAATTTGCAACGCAACAACAGCAGCAAGTTGCCGAAATGGTTCTTCGAGGCCAACGACGCCACACGGCGGACGTTGCGAGTCGATGCTCGGGACAAAAAGGGCGACACGCCGTTGCATCTCGCTCTGTGCCGCGGGTCCAGAAGGATGGTCGAGTTCCTGCTGAGACGAGGCGCGGATCCGGGCGTGGCCAACGAGGCGGGATCGACCACTCTGCACGTCGTTTGCGAGAGAAACGACGACGACGACGTCGGCTTGGCGAGGATGTTGTTCGGAAATCGGCGGCGGCTATTGCGGGTCGACGCCCGGGACAGCGAGGGACGGACGCCGCTTCAATTGGCCGTTGCGAATCTCATGCCGAGTACCGTCGATACTCTGTTGAGCAACGGGGCCGACCTCGCCAACTTCGTTTTTCCCCACGAGAATTGCTTCGGCAAATTTTTCGACTCGAAGGGTATGAGCTGTCGTTACAGGAGTCGTTTGAGAATGGAGCTGGTGTCGAGCGCTCTGGCGATCGTCGAGAGCCTCGAGGCGAAAGGATACGACGCGCAGCGAAGCGACGCCCTGACGATCATGAAATTTTACGCCGGATGCGGACTGTTCGACGCGAACGTCGAAGAAAATTGGTACGACGACGACGACGCGACGTTCGCGAACGAAGCCAAAAAGACGATGATGAATCCGAGCCTGTCGCTCTACGACTGGATTCGGTTGCGACCCGAAGAGCTGGCGGCGAAACGGGTCACGGCCAAGGACTGCTTCGAGTTCGCGCGCGGAAACGATCTGTGGCACTTGGATCGAGGGCTTAAAAATCGCTGCTTTTTGCACATGTGCGAGAAGCTGTCGAGAGGATTTTTCCGGGCCTGGGCGATCGAGTGCTTCGTGGAGCTGACGCGCTCTCGACTGCCGCTCGAGTGCTATGGCCTGATCATCGATGAATCCTTCACGAACGAGGATTTATATCATATTTGCTTGGCGACTACGATCCAAAGTTAATACAATTTACGTTAAAATACAACAATATGCATGGTTTTTTTTACAAAGATAAAAAAAATCAATTCTGTACTTATGTTCTATACTTATATAAGAAATTGTACGAAAAGTCAATCATTTTTAAAGCCAGTATTGACCGCTAGATGTCGACTACCTTCAAATATGTAAATCTGCAAGTGGCAAATGCAAACTAATTGTATAAGTAAAGAAATATTCATGATAATTAATATTATGAACTTTTCCATTTCGCGATTATAAATTTTAACGTAAAATTGCAGAAAGCTCGTATGAGCGACAAAGATAATTTGTGCCGTCCCCGTAGCCACACGTGTGGATTCGAAGAGAGCTGGGTAGCGAGAGAGATTTTCTCTGATCTTTTCCAGGGTTTTAACGGTCCGTCGCCGCTCGAACCGTCGCAGCGCTCCCTTTTCTACCTCTCATTCAGGTGAGGGTAGGCGCTCGATGTCACGAGGTCAGCGGTGGCGGTCGTCCGTCGGGAGGCTCTGCGGATGTCGCGACCGTCGTGTGACCGGGGGTGAAACTCCAGGCGCCACATATTATTGAATTCAAATTTACAAATTGATTATATAAATGTTTATACACGAAGAGATAATTTTTGTTAACAATTTTTAAGCATATTTTAATCGCATTTGAAGTTATTATTTATTATAATAAATGAGATGCTAAAGTGTTTTTTTATTAAAAGTTTAAAATTTTTATATTTCAACATTCTTCCGTAAAGTCTAACTAGTGATTTTGTTAAAAAATGAGTGTCATTGATATCCAGGTTTATAATAATTCAATATATTTATAGTATTTTAGGGCCAAATCAATGATTTATTGATATAAATGCACTATACAAGGCTAAATGAAATTTTTTTAAATAAAAATTTTATAAATGTCTGTCAATTGGCACATTGAAAGTTTTGAGCTTAGATAAGCTAGACTCTAAATTTAAAGCATTGGCCATCTACATTTTAAGCACATATTCAAATTAAAGTTCATTCATTGTCATTATCGTGTGTTCTTTCATATGGCACACGGTTCAGTAAACATAAATTTCTATCATATGCTTGTTTTACACCCTCCGTATGTTTTGCAGCGATCAAACACGATGTGCCTTCTTCCACTGACGCCATAAATTCAATTTGTCAATTATTTCTTGGCGGTGCTGCGCCGTAAAATTTTCGACACGCAGGTTTTTATTTAAGAACTATACTTCAACGCTCATCGTCGAAAAATCTTGTGATAATTATTTCGCATAGGTATTTTATAAACGCCTAATGCGATCGATCGCATAGAACCTCAAGATATTTATCATTCCGAAATGTGAACATGGCTCGGTCATGGTACAGAATATATACTCGACAATTACGGGTGGCTTAATGACGCATTGGTAAAGTACAAACACAAATGGATTCGTTTCCGTTTTATTGAAAAAATTATTTATACCCTTCGATTCCCATCACAATGGAAAGTGTACAATTCCACAGAATTACGTGCTGAATTAGGATACTGTGAATCCCGACCTTTCTCGTGTCCATGAGCATGGTTATTTTTATTGTTAGGAGAAGTTTAAATCGCGACACACTTTTCAATCGTAAAATATAGCTCGCACAAATTATTCATTTTTGAGGCCTTCAAGAGAGAGAATCACATATGAAAAAAACAAATTATATATGCTGATCGTCATCACGAGTTTTGACCTGCAGCCGACAAGGCAATAATACATAAATCTTTATTCTCCAGCCTTTCGAGTATAAATTCACGGATCCGTTCCGGCAGCGCGTAGCGACGCGTCATCCGCGCGAAAGGTTCTCGGGTCCAGGTCAGCAAAAACGTTCTCGATAGCTTCTCGCACAGATGCATGGTGCAACGCCGAATCGTGGCCTCGTCGCGGCAACTCACGTTCCACCAATCGCCCTTCGCGAATTTCCAGTAGTCCGTGTACCTGACTAGATTATACGCCTTACTGGCCGATGTAAAGCGTATCAGATTGTAGAGCCACAGGCGCCCTACATACACCTTTGGGGCTTCGAGGAAGAACTCCTCTGTGTCGATCCAAGATCTGTCCGGATTCTCGAACAAGTCGTTCTTGACGAAAAATTTCATGATGCGCTGGGCGTCGCTTTCGCTCATCTCGTATCCTCTTTCCACGAGACTTTGGACGGCACCCAAAACGCCGGACGCCTGCACCAATTTGTGCTGGATCTTGGCGTTATCCATCATTACGGTGCTCCTGTCGAAGAGATCAGGTGGGAAGACAAATCTGGACAGATCGGCGCCATTATCCAACAGTGCCTCGACGACATCCGGCAATTGCCTCGCCAAGGCCCACTGCAGCGGTGTCCAGCCAGACTCGTCCCGGGCATCGACCCGAATCACCTGATTTCTTTCTCGATTGATCCGGAAGAAAAGCTGCAGCGAGTTGCTATCGTACTTGGTTTGACAAATGGCGTGCAGCGGCGTCGATCCAGCCTTGTTGGCCAGATTCGGGTCGGCGCCTCGTAGCAGCAGCAACCTGAGCGCCTCCTCGGTCGAGTGGCACGCGGCCAAGATCAGCGGCGTGTTGCCGTTCTTGTCCCGGGCGTCGATCTGCACCTTGGTGATTGCGTTCGGCACCCTGAGTTGCATCGCGTCGCAAACCTCGAAGAATTCCTTCGTCAAGTTGTGGGCGCGGCTCGCCGTGCAAATCACGTGCAGCACCGTCCATCCCTCCGCGTTGGTCGTGTTCGGATTCGCGCCTCGCCTCAGCAGAAATCGGACGAGATTTCTGTAGCCATTGTTCGCAGCCATGTGCAACGGCGTGTTGCCGTTAACGTCCTGTGCGTCGATTTGCACCTCGCGACCCGGCAGTTCGTCGAGGGTCCTGAAAAATAGCTCAATCAGTCCGAAGGCTTCGCCCTTGACGCATGAGATAAAGTGCAGAGGTGTGAATCCAGCCTGGTTGCTCCGATCGGGATTGGCGCCGGCTCTCAGCAGCTTCTCGACGATCCTGCCACGACGATAGATCAGGGCCAAGTGTAGCGACGAATCGAGCGTATTCTGTGCGAGGAGATCGGGATTCGTCCGGCGGGATGCGATGAATCTTTCGACGACGTCGTCGATGCCAAACATGCAGGCCGCGTGAAAATGCGAGAATCCGATCTTGTCGATGTAATTCACGTTGACGGAGTCGTATATCGTAAAAAGCTTGCCGACGAGATCGTCGGCGTGCTTGTGTCGAGCCGCGTGATGTATCGGTGTGGTGCGCCGAGGCTGCAGCGACGGTGCTCTGTCGTCGGCCTCTCGATGCACATCGTCATGAGGCTGGTCCCTGTAGCCGGTCTTGATCACGAAGTCGATGAATTGTTCCGCTTGAAAATAGCTTCTGCCCTCGTATCTATACATTACGGCATTCAGGAGGAGATGATCGATCTGGTGCCAGAAAAATACGTCTCGGAGATCGGGAAGATCATTGTCCGGCCATTTGTTGACTGCGGACAAAATTTCGGCGACAAGATCCTGCCAATTATTGACGTTTTCCTTAATCATCCACAGTTCTTCTGCTCGTCCGCGGCGTTCGATTTTAGGTGAGATCGAGAGATAGGTGAGATCGAGACTTTCAGCCATTTTGAGTGCAGATCTTCTTTGTCGTTCACGCCGCGGCGTCGTCACGAGTACTGCCTAGTATACGCGTGAAACTTGAGTCGGTTAAATAAAATCTAGTGTAATCAACAGAAAAATCGTATAGTTACTGTTAGTATTACTTCTCATACCCATTGTTCATAATTTTTAGTGTAATGTAGAAAGCGTAAACATAGCGAGTTGTGTGGCCCCTACTTCGCTGTATTTACTCCGAATTATTCTTACCTAAGTTTACGGTACCTTCACAGTAATCGACGAAAAGAGTAAATACAGCGAAGTATGGGCGAAGGCCTATACATCGCCTGTGTACTATTTATATTATTACTACCGTGTATCGTTGTACACACTTTCCAACTGTCATCGAGTGCTTAGCTCGTCCTATACTCGTTGCGTCTCTCGCCAAGTCCACGTCTTTTTTTTACTTTCAACATAGCTCGTTGAGAAAATTTTGGTAAATTTAACTCATAATCACTTCAATTTATTTAAAAAAAAAAAAAGTCATAAAAATAAGAAATAAGAAAACGAAATGATATTTTAATTACCTCAATGAGTTTATGAATACATTTTTATAATTAATTTTTTTTCAATAAACTAAATAATTATTTTGATGAACCAATGTTGACTTCAATGTTATAGTCCATAGAATGAAGACATTATCTCCACTCATTACTGCGTCGATTCAGACTTATAGAAGCACACGTGTATAAAGTGAGACAGGTGTGCAGGACTGCCTTCGCTCGTCACCGCTGTATACCTGTGCCGGCACTGGGCGAGCGATGGACATGGGACATCGATTCAATCCTCACGATCCATCATATGGGTCATGGAACGGAATGTATACTCGACAATTACAGATGGCTTAACGACGCATTGGATGCTGGTAAAGTAGAAACACAAAAGGATTCGTTTCCGTTTTATTGCAAAAATTATTTATACCCTTCGATTCCCATCACGATGGAAAGTGTACAAATCCGCGGAATTACGTGTTGAATTAGGATACCGTGATTCTCGAACTTTCTCGCGTTCATTAGCACGAATACTGCACTTTCTCTCCGTTTTTGATATATATGTCAACGATGGTGTCATAAAACGTGTAAAAAAACACTAGAGAGACTACCGGAGGGTATATTATCAGGGTATCGTCTTCAAAGCATTGCTTTGGATCGATCTCTCAACTTTTCATTTAAAAGTGAAATCTTGCCCCAAGTATCTATTCTCTCCTTGCCTTGAAGTAAGAATTTAATTTCTCATACAGCTTCGCACGCTGTCCCCTTTAACTGACATTTGTACATGCGGTATGCGATTAATCGAGTAAATGTAATCAACAATTACACGACAAGTAATTTCCTCGTAAAAATCCAATCCATGTTTTGTATCTAAGTACGTACGAAGTACTAAACAATTACTTTTTCACACACTATACGAGTACCAGAAGTAATAATGGTATAATTGTCGATATTGTTATAGGAGACGTTTAAATCGCGATACTCGGTTCGTTTGGAAAATATAGCTCGCGCAAACAAAATTTGGGTGTTACAGACCTTCAAGAGAGATTTCTTAGAGAGAGAGAGAGAGAGAGAGAGAGAGAGAGAGAGAGAGAGAGAGAGAATCACGAATGTAAAAAAATTAAATCCCAAAATGATTAATAAATAAAAATATATTTATTCTATTGAATGGCATGAACAACTGGCAAAATGAATACCAGAAATGATGAATTTCTGCAAATATGCCAATCATAATCACTAGTTTTGATCTAAACTCAAGATCAAATCCCACAAAACTACATTTTTCATATACGTAAACAAATGATCATCCATCTCTGGCGGAAACCGATAATTGCTTGCGCGCCTCCAAACTATCCCGGACCAGTACAGAAGAAATCTTCGCGATAGCTTCTCGCACAGATGCAAAGTACAAGCCCGAACTACGGACTCCTCGCAATTCATGTTCCACCAAACTTCTGATCTCGCGAAATCCCAGTAGTCTTCATCTTGAATTCGATTCTGGGGCACTCTTCCGATCGGAAAGTCTATCAATTGGGAGAGCGACAGGTCCGGTCTTACCTGTATCTGGCTGGCTTCGCGCGCGAAATCCTCGTTGGCGCGCCAAGATCCATCCTGATTCGCTCCCGACTCGAACAATCGGTGCTTGATGAAAAATTTCGCGATCGACGCAATGGCCTCGAGATCGATCATCCATCCTGCTCTCGAGAGAATTACGGTGGAACGCATAAGGCCGGACGCTAGCATCAATTTGCATTTGATATTGGAACTCTCAAAGAAACACTTGTCGAATTGTTGTTGGGTGGGGAAAACAAAGTTCGCCAGATCGGCGCCATTGTTCAGGAGTACTTCGACGACATCCGGCGAGGCGATCGCCACGGCCCACTGCAGCGGCGTCCAGAACAACTCGTCCAGGGCGTCGACCCGAATCACCTGATTTATTTCTCGGCTCACCCGAAAGAAAAGCCCAATCAAGTTGCCATCGTATTTGGTTCGAGAAATGGCGTGCAGCGGCGTCGATCCAGTCTTGTCGGCCAGATTGGGGTCGGCACCTCGTCGCAGCAGCAGCTCGACCCTCCTGTCGTCGTCCTCGAGGCGCACGGCCCAGAACAACGGCGTCTCGCCCGTACGGTAGTCCAGCGTATCCAGCAGCGGCTGCAGCCGCAGCTCGTCGCAGATCTCGAAGAACAGCCGCGTCAGATCGTGATCGACGCCCTCCTGGCACATGGTGTGCAGAGGAGTGTGTCCGTGGCGGTCGACGGCGTTCGGGTCGGCGCCGCGTTCCAGCAGCAATCGGAGCATCTGCTCGGTCGGGTGGCCAGCTACCAAGAGCAGCGGCGTGTTGCCGAACGGATCCCGCGCGTCGATCGCCACCGGTCGATCCATCTGCTCGCAAACGGCGAAGAATATCGCCGGCACTCGGTCGAAGCAGTCGCTGCGTCGGCTCGCGTGGCAAACGAGGTGCAGCGCCGTGCATCCCATGTTATTGGTTAAATTAGGATCCGCGCCTCGGCTCAGCAGCAATCTCACCGGATATCCGTAGTCGCCGAGCACGGCCAAGTGCAACGGTGTGTTGCCTTCCTCGTCCGGGATGTCTATCGACACCTCTTGACCGAGCAGGTCGCACTCCTCGAAGATTATATTCAGTAATCGGTTGTCGCAGCGTGGCCCCACGCTGCAAACGACGTGCAGCGGCGTCGATCCGTCCCCGTTGGCCAAGTTCGGATCCGCGCCTCGACGCAGCAGCATACGGACCAGCCTTTTGTGGCCACGAGGCACAGCCAAGTGCAACGGTGTGTAACCGTACAGGTCCAGGGCGTCGATCAACACCTCTCGATGGACTCGGTCGCATTCCTCGAAGAATATCCCCAGCAGTCTGTCGTCGTCGTCTTTCCTCAGGCAGATCATGTGCAGCGCCGTCGTTCCCCTCCCATTGACCGTGTTCGGATTCGCGCCTTGCCGCAGCAGAAGTCGGACGAGATTTCTGTAGCCATTGGTCGCGGCCATGTGCAACGGCGTGTTGCCGTTAACGTCCTGTGCGTCGATTTGTACCTCGTGACCCGGCATTTCCTCGAGGGTCCTGAAAAATAGCTCCCCCAAACCGAAGGCATCGTCTTTGATACAGATTTGGTGTAGAGGCGTCAATCCAGCCTCGTTGGCCAATTGGGGATCGGCGCCATTTTTCAGCAGCAGTTCGGCGACGCCGCCGCGACGATGAACCAGAGCCAGGTGCAGCGGGGGATCGACCCTGCCATCGGCAGCTGGACAGTTCGGATCTTGTCCGTGATCGAGGAATCGCTTGACGGCGTCGACGCAGCCCAACTTGCAGGCCGCGTGAAAATGCGAGAATCCTTGGCCGTTGGTGTAGTTCACGTTAAATGCGTCGTAGATCGTAAAAAGCTTGCCGACGAGATCGTCGGCGTACTCGTGCTGAGCCGCGTCATGTATCGGTGTGGTGCGGCGCACATCGTTCACATCGTCATGAGGCCGGTCCCTGTAGCCGGTCTTGATCACGAAGTCGATGAATTGTTCCGCTTGAAGAGAGCTTCTGCCCTCGTATCTATACTCTACGGCATGAAAGAGGAGACGTTCGATCTCGAACCACCAAAATACGTTTAGGAGACCGTGAACATTATCGTCCGGCCATTCGTTGACTAGAGACGAAATTTCGGCGACAAGATCCCACGTCTCTTGCCGTTCCTGCCAATCATTGACGTTTGCCCTTATCCTCCTCAGTTGTTCTGCTCGTCTGTCGTGTTCTCTTCTAGCATAGGTGAGATCGAGACTTTCAGCCATTTTGAGTGCAGATCTTCTTCTTTGTCGTTCACGCCGCGGCGTCATCGCGAGTACTGCCTGTACGCGTGGAACTTGAGTCGGTCAAATAAAATCTAGTTTAATCAACAGAAAAATCGTATACTTACTGTTAGTATTACTTCTCATACCCATTGTTCATAATTTTTAGTGTAATGTAGAAAGCGTAAACATAGCGAGTTGTGTGGCCCCTACTTCGCTGTATTTACTCCGAATTATTCTTACCCAAGTTTATGGTACCTTTGCGGTAATCGATGAAAAGAGTAAATACAGCGAAGTATGTGCGAAGGCTTATACCTCGCCCGTGTACTATTTATAATATCATTACCGCGTATCGTTGTACACACTTTCCAACTGTCACCGAGTACGCAGCTCGCCCTGTACTCGTTGCGTCTCTCACCAAGTCCACTTCCTTTTTGTTACTTTCGACACAGATCGTTGAGAAAATTTAAATATAATAAAATATTCAGTGCCGTGTGTAGCGAGTAAGCAAAATGGCGCAATTAACCAGTATAGATAGACTCGGCGAAATCATGAATCAGTTCAAGAAAAACATAATTGTAGAAGTTATCAGGACCTTGCGAGAGCACGTCAACTGGCAGGTCGAAACACAGCGATACGCGCTTCTCGATCGCATCTTTCCCTTCGTCAGCGATTGGCAGGGCCCGCCTCCGAATCTCCGAGACATCTTTCGACCCGAAGAGATCGACCGTCTCCTCCTGGACGCCGTGGATTACTGGGGTCTGAATCCGAGCGACGAGAAAGCCGTGACCTTCGTCGGCTTCGTGTTCAACAGCGGCTACAGGGACGAGCTCGACGGCCAGCTCGACGAGGCGGGCAGACCCACGCTGAGACGCACCACGGCGCTGCATCGGGCCGCCCGACGCCGACTGATCCGCAAAGTGAGCCGCGAGGACTCGCTGATCAAGTGGCTGTTCGGCATCTACAACAGATTCGACCTGAATTACGTGGACGAGTCGGGCCTGAGTCACTTTCACGTGGCCTGCCTCACCGACAGCACCCTCGTCGTGAACACGTTCCTGGAGCACGACCACGATCCGAATGTCTGCTGGCCGGAAAACGACGACTCGCCGCTTCACCTCGCCCTCGGCACCTGGGACGACAGGAGCATCAACAGGGAGATGGTCGAGCTGCTGCTGATAACGGGCGCGGATCCGAACGCGGCCAACAAGCAGGGGATCAGACCTCTGCTGCTCTGCGTGGGTCATCGCACTCGCGGCCCGGATTTCTTGCAGTCGATGTTCCGCTTCAGCCAACGGACGGTGGAGATCGACGCGCCGGACGAGTCCGGCGACACGGCGTTGCACTGGGCTCTGCGCTGCGGCCACGGGACGGTGGCGAAATTTCTGCTGCGCAAGGGCGCGAATCCGAACGTCAGCAACAAGCGGGGCTTGACTCCGCTGCACGTCATCAGCGAGGTGGACGACACCGGCCATTTGACGGAGACGTTCTTCGTGACTTGCGATCAACTCGGTCGAGAGGTGGATATCGACGCCCACGACAAATTTTCTAGGTCGCCTCTAAATTTAGCCGTGGCGAACATCAGGCCCGACGTGGTCGAGCGTCTCTTGTGTCGTGGCGCTGAATTGAAGAATTTCGTTTTCCCCAAATCGGGTAACTTTGGTTACTCGCAAGGTAAGATATTGGAACAAGAGAAAAGCGAGACGCAGCATGATTTTCGATTGAGAATAACCGCCGGCGTTATGGCCATCGTCGAGCATCTCAAAGCAGAAGGATTCCAATTGGAGAAGGCGCATGTGGAAACAATAAAGACATTGGTGGACAAGTACCAATTGTACGACAGTAGCGCGAGGCGCGACAGACTCTGGTACAGACAGGAAAGCTTCGCGAAAGTTGCGAAAAAAATAAGCTTGCATCGGGATACGACGCTTTACGGTCTGCTCAAATTAGATTCCAAACGGGCGGCCGAACGACTCCGATTTGCCCACTTGTACAAGCTCGCGTGCTTGAAAACGTTCTGTAAACTTCTCGACGAGCACAAAGAGGCTTTTATCGCACATCTGTGGAAGAAGATTTTCCCGAAGATGTGGGAAAGCGAGAGCAAAGATCAATAACGATGATTTTATGTAATATTTGCTCGACGATTGCAGTCGAAATTCGTGATGCCGATCAGCATGTTTGCGGTATTTTTTTTTATCCCCTTGTATCAAATTTTTCCGTTTCTTCGCGACAATCAAAAAAATAAATATATTTTTATAATATATAATAAATGTATGATAATGTATCAAAGATATTTAATAAATAAATATAATTTTATATTTGTCCACTGGAAAATGAAGTACTCAGTACCAGAGCAAATTAATTGAATTTACATTGTTATAATACCAAAGACTTTCGACACAGAGCATTTGATTTATTTTAGCAGCCTGTCATAAGATACTGACCCATCGTACGAATCAATTTATTTGATACATCCAAATAAGACTTGCTTTTGAATGGCGTAATACTAATAATTTAGCCTTAGGAAACAAGTCTCACAGCAATTTAAATGCCAAGTCTGCCCGTGTAATTTTATTGATATTTGCGTTATTTACGCATGTATTATAGCCCTAACTTCCTATAATAAAATTAATACTACTCAAGTGAATATTATCTGCTGTACGAGAATTTTTATACTTTCTTGGTCGCGCTTAGTCTTATCAGCTATAGTAATGACTTACACAGATAAGTCCAACTGACTGAAAAGTATTTGTACTTTAATATTTTTATGTTTTACAATTTGAATCATTTTTTTAAATTAAGACCATTTTATGAAAAAATTAAAATTATTTAACGAAATTTAAAATAGGTTCCATTTTTCATTGGTTCAAGATGACAAAAATATAGTTATTTGTTTAAATTTTCACCGTTCAGTCGGTTGACGTCTTTCGTTTGATTTTAATCCAGCAATTGAAATAGGTGCTAACTCGCTACACTTCGAGCCAGATTCAACAATTTTTCGGTGGTTAAATTACTTAAAATAACAGAGGTATGGCGACGTCCTTTGCTCGTTTTTCAGTGATTAACTCATAGCAAAGAAGTTTCACTTCCAAAAAGAATCTCAACCGGTTGTTCTTTCGAGTATAGCCGCTTCGTTCGTGTCCATTGTTCTTTCGAATGCCGACTGGTGAACAACAATGACACCGTTTGCGAGGGAGAGAGCCAAGTGATGCAGCATTAAGCTCGGCCATTCGAAGGAGAGAAACGACCGAATATAAGAAAGAGAGAGAAAAAGAGGCAGGGGAGAGAGAGAGAGAGCAGGTATTATATTTACGTTGGTCGTATACGATAAAGCCGCAAATTCAGAGTAAGACGAAGGCCGATCGTCGATGATCAGTAACCAGATTGGGTACATATACACTCACTTCTTGTGTACGAATACAAAATTTTTAAATTTTCACCAGTGGCTTGCAGTTGAGCCGATTTTAGCGGCTATTATTATTCGCATCATTGTCTCCGAATCAAAGAGAACCTAAGGAAAGATTAAATTAAATTAAATTTTAATGATGCTCGTGAGATAGTAATGCACTTCAACGAGGGCGTGATAATTAGCTTCCAATTGTGCCTTGAGCGATACGCGTCGAGATGCTCAATTGAAACTTAAAACCCATCCCATTGCTGAATATCCTCGGGCGCAGCATTAAAATGATCGATTTATATAGGTGTACGTAGGAGCAAAATCAATTTACCGTACTAAAACTAAATATCACTTTGCACTCCGTATATATAATTATACCGGCGATAAGATATATTAGTTATTTTCATTAGCGGATATAAGTACACCGCGAGAAAGCGACCGCGACGGATTCTATCCGCTAAATGATGGTTTCTAGGAAAAGGGAAAACCAGAAAAAATTAAAAGATTCGTGAAAATAGAAGCGTGCGATGATTGGAGGGTACTTTCTAACGACATGTAGCCTCACACTTGCGCAAATTGTAATGATATTCAAACGTTCATTAACTGTCTGTGTAGCCGGGCAAATTTTCCATATCAAGTTGCAGAGCTCGTTCATTTATTTACTTTTTTTTTCACCTCAAAGACTAATGTTGGCTCGTGATAATTTTCTCATCGTTGAGCTTGCGTTTCGATGTGCTTTATACGAATTTTCGAAAATTTTAAGACACTAATATAATACAAGTTACCAACATGTTTTGGCGCGTTGCTCGCTGATATGTATCGTATCCGTACTCGATTGTAATATGTTATCAGTAATTAAATTAATTAATTACCCATCTATTCGGAGAACACAAAAAAACCATCACGCTTTTAAAAGTAAAAGAACAAAAGCAGAAATATTTTTTGTTAAATTATCGACGGGGCTGCCACAGTTATTTCATTACCACCTGACGCTCGCAAAGACTACTTTAACTTACTTACTTACTTTAACTCCCTTTCTAACATCACGTGAATTATGTCATTACGCATCATACAGATGAATTTATCTTTTGTGTGAATTATTATCCGCACATATCGCATATATGGATAAGCCAATTATATTATGCGCCTGAATGAATGCCCTATTCATTACAAATTTAGGTGTAATTTTGCTGATGTAAGAGGACCTCTATGTGTATTGCATAGAGTGAGACATTACCTGCTTATGGACAGGTTATAACCTACGTATAGTGGAGGAAATTATAGCCAAGGAGCTATCACAATCGCGGAGTCGACTCGCTAATATACGACCAGGGCCTACAGTCGCTGACGAGGAATTCCGGCAGTGAACAAGTGTCGTGAACAAATACGTGTTATCGATGTTCGGTGTTGGCTACTCGAGGCACATAACCTCGAATATTTTCTCAGTGTATATCGTGAAAACTGATAGTGAATAAACCTATAAAATCTCGGGAGTAATGGAAAGCGGAGAAGATACTGTCAGGTATAACTATTTTTAGGCATGACATGATATTTTTTGAAGCAATAGCTTTATGAAACTTAATCATTTTTCAGGGTGAAAGAGGAGCCAAACGATACTTGGCGCGATGAAGGGAACGATCATAATTTGTATTCGGTGAATCAAAAGCTGTCGTATGATGAATTATATGTAAGTTTAAATATTTGGATTATGTTCAGTTCTTCATTATCAAAAATTGTCACACGGTTTTTATTTTAGGCAAAGCGCATGAATGAAGCTATAGTGCTACACGAAAAGTTAGATGAAAAAATATTCATAGATTGTGAGTGCAAAGATTTTAAAACCGAACTCAATTCTTTATCGACAACTATTTGTAAAAATGAGTATCAGAGTTATCCGCCTAGTGTGAAAGTAGAAAACGAACTTCGGAATAAGTATTTGAATGATAAGGAACTGATAGTTTTGATTAAAAAAAATTTTGATTATCAAAATAATTGCCAATATCAAATAAATCCGCGATTGAAAATTATCGACTCCAAATTATCTTACGAGTGTAAGACGTGTCAAAAAAAATATAAAGGAGCTGTGAGTCTACAAAGATCATATGAGTGTGAGATTTGTCACACATCATTCGAACGAAAAAGTATCCTTAAAAATCACGTTAAAACAGTAAATATTCAGAGCAAACCTTTCGAGTGTGACATTTGTCAAAAAACATTTGGACAAAAAATTACCCTTAAGCATCACGTACGTGTAGTACATGATCGCAGTAAATCCTTTGAATGTGAAATTTGTCACAAATCATTTGGAGAAAACGGTACCCTCAAAAGTCATGTCAACGCAGTACATAATCGGAGCAAACCCTTCGAATGTGATATTTGTCAAAAATCATTTTCATACAAGGGTAATCTCATTAGACACAAAAAAATAGTACATGATCAGCGCAAATCCTTTGAATGTGACAATTGTCAGAAATCATTTGGACTAAAACAAAATCTCAATAGACACATAGAGACAGTACATAATCGGAGCAAACCCTTCGAATGTGAGATTTGTCACAAATTATTTGGGCGAAAAAGTATCCTCAATTCTCACATAAATGCAGTACACGATCGCAGCAAACCCTTCGAGTGTGACATTTGTCACAAATCATTTGGACGAAAAAGTACCCTGAAACATCATGTCAACGCAGCACATGATCGCAATAAATCCTTTGAATGTGAAATTTGTCACAAATCATTTGGAGAAAACGGTACCCTCAAACGTCATGTCAACGCAGTACATCTTTTAAGCAAACCCTTTTTATGTAAGATTTGTCATAAAGCATTTGGACAGAAGAATAACCTCAATAGACACATAGATAAAGTACATGTACAGAGTAAAACTATTCGAATGTGATTTATGTCAAAAATCATTTGGTTACAAAATTCTCTAAAACCTCTCATAAATGGTAGGTAATCTTTTTAAGACTTTTGAGTGCAAGATTTCACGAAGCATGGCACATTATCGAAACAACCCTTAAGAGCACACGATGCAATAAAGACTCATGTAATTACATGATTACGCTATGTAATTTTGAAAATTTTTTTACTCAAATATTCTTTCGTTTTGTAAAAAGCAATAAAACTTTTCAAACTGTCATTTATTTTGTCGTTATTGTTTTATTTATACTCAAATATTAACACGATTTCGTCTTCAAAGTATTGCCTTTGAAAATTCAACATTTAAAAACTTATGATTGAACATTCCACTAATAAAATGAACCTCTCTCTGAGTTTTAGTGAAATCTTTTTCTTAAAGAAAAAATAATGCATTAACATCACCCAACAATATCCCCAATATTGAACGATTGCAAATCTCTGCAAGTACAGCGACAATTCTGCTTACCCGATGCAAATTTCATCAATTACGTACCGTAAGTATTCATCTATATGGGTGATAAAAACATATTTCACGAATGCGTAATTCTACAAAAGTCGCGCTTCATTTACTTATATACGAGCCCCCGACTGACTCCATACTCACAAAATATTGAACTTGCTTGTAGTTCCAAAAATCGTAGCAACTTTACTAATGACGGTTTGATACCATAACCACCGTGAAATGCGCTTCGCACGCACAATTTATACTCCCACCCCCCTTGCTTCGCAATACCTATACATTCGATTTAAGGCCTCGTGTTAAGAGCATCGAATTTCTCATCTTGGTGGCTCGCTCGATTTTTAACACCTATTTCGAGCAAAATCATCGTTCTCTTTCTCTCTCTTAGCCAAAAAACCAACAATCAAGGCGTCTCGCACTATGATTTCAAATCCTCGTATAAGTTCATATACATTCGAAAAAAAAAAAACAAAATCAAATCGCCGATTCAACGCAATCATTCTCTCCGCGCAACAGGTGTAATTCGAACAACACCGTTGTTTTTTTTTAATCCTCCGTTTTCGAAATGCGCGTGGCTGCGTTTTATTCCCCTCTCCCTCTCTCTCTTTTTCTGAAGTAGTATATAATCAGCAGGCGCGAAGAAACAACAGAGCGCAGAACCAACACACAAAAAAGAAGAAAAAGAAAAAGAAACGAGGCAAAAGTTCAGAATCTCGAATAGATTATTTTCACACCTCATCAACGATATTATTATGTATACATATACGTGTGTGTGTGCGCGCGCAGTAAGTTGCAGGAGCAGCTTTACTTATGCGCGAGTCGAGTGCATGCACGGGCGCGATTTCCGATCCCACGCCATCAGCCACCCGCCGCCGCCACCGCCTCTTATACATATTACCTCGACCATCGTGTATAAACTCGCAGGACTCGTATACGTCTTTACGCACCACACAATGTTGCTGCACACACGCATTCATACAGACAGGCACACGTACTATTATAATATAATACACGAGAGATGTGATGCACGAGGTGTATAGCGCACAATCATCGCCATCATAATCATCATCATCAACATAACCATCGTCATAACAATAATAAACAACGAGTCGTCCGCGGCAGGGTTGCTCGCGCGAGCAGTACAGCATCGGAGAGTACGCGAGATATATATAATACATAAGTAGCAGCAGCTGCAGTAGTGTGGTAGCGCGATGGATGTATATACATGTGCAGGTAGTAGTGGTGGTGGGGGTTCGCGCAGGAGAGAATCAAGCGAAAGAGAGTAAAAGCCGCGAGGAAAGAAAAGAGCTGAGGCCCCGCGCGGCGCAGTCCGCAGCGCACGAGAGTGCGTCACGATCTCCTGCGCTCTCCGCACGCGGCGCGCGCGAAACGAAGCGAACGACGAGAGAGTGCATATACATACAAGATACACACCGCGAAGTATACTCGTACACACACACACACACACACGCATACTCCTCGACGATTTCTGTCTGTATACAGTATATGTCTGTGTCTGTGCTGTGCAGTGTGCACACTATATATATACCTTTACCTCTTCTGCAACACACGGAACGCGCGGAGTCGAGCGGCCCCGGACTCTCTGCACAGCACATATACACACAAGAGAGTGAGAGAGAGAGAGAGACTGTAAGTCTCTCTCTCTATATACAGTGTATAATGCGCGCCGATACATAAGCAGATCAGTCCGGCAGCGCGCGTTCAACCGCCAACATCGAACACCGCACCACACGTACAATAACACATAATACACAAAATACAAAAGAGTCGCTGCAGCGACCGTTTCGCACGTGAATCGAACGCCGGAGTCGTGTTTCGTCGTTATCGTTTCAAAAATTCGTTCGTGTTTTCTATATATCAAATACATAGTTCGCGAGGCTCGCTCGATCCAATTAGCAGCAGTCGCAACGTTTGTAACGTTTGTCAAGTGCCTGTGCGGCGACGGCCGAGATTCGAATCGAGATTTTTCGGAGCAAGTGTCGCGCGAGCGACAGCAGCCTCTGCCTCAGCAGAGTCCTCCTGACTGCCAGGTTGTATACATGTACCGTACGAGTAATCGGTGAATGTCAAGAGAGAGAGAGGAGAGCCTCGAAGAAGTCCTGCTGCAGTGTGCCAAGTTCCACGAGTTGTATACATGTATTCTGCACGCACACAATTGCGTGTACGTATTTACTGCAATGCATAACTGAGATCGGCCGTATTTAAAATATAAAATAAGATGTGTGTATATTAGTGTGTGTGCGCGTATATCCTTATACCTACGAGTTAGCTTCTGTCAAGCTGAACTGTCCGCTGTTGTGTTGTTGTGTATACCGTCTGTATCTTTCGATATACGTTAAGAAGAAAAACGACGAGGACGACAACGAGTGCAGCAGCAGCAGCAGTAGTCCCAGATATCAATGCGGTAGGTCACTGTGCAACTTTTTTTTTTACGATTCGCCGCCTTTTTTCTTCGAACTTCGTTCTACACATTAGCTTACCCTGTACTCGATTATGTACATACTTTTACTTCATCATATATTACATGGCACTCGGCGAGTGAGGATTAAGGGTGCGATATCGTGCGCGACCCGATCATGCACAACAAATCGCTGCTGCCTACTCGACATTGACACGAATCGCATCTTTGCCCTAGTGCGTGTCGCTGTATCGGTCACTTAGACCTGTTAGCGCGTTTGCATCTTCTTATATAGGTACATAAGTTTATAAACTCGACCGTATCTCAACCGCTGATCGTTTCGCAAAAATGCAGACAAACTCGCCTATATCAACCGTTAAGAGAGGCGACGAGGAAAGTCGAGCGAGTCCATCGGGAAATATGAAGATGGAGCGAACGAGAGAGAGAGAGATAAAAACGCGCTCGTTGGACGACTATCGCTCGCAAAACTTCGCGTTCACGCTTGTGTATGTGTGTGTGTGTGCGTTCATTCGTTCGTTGTGATCTTTTTTTAAAAGCGCGCGCGCGCGGTTCCAGATCGAACGCTTTTCTCGGACATTGGCGGGCTGTGGAGCGAGTTTATCCTCGTTCTTCTTCTTCTTTTTTCCCAGAAACGCGATCGAACTGTTTTTCGGAGCTTGTCTCGTTCGTTTGTTTAAATAATAAAATATAAAACTATGTAAGCTTAAAATACGGGCGAAAATAAATATGGAAGAATGTATACATGCAAAGCATCCAACGAGTTCAGCGCGATTAATCTCCACCTTGGCTGTATACATACGTTTGGAACGTAAACAATATAGACCGCGTGTTGAACGTGAATGGCTCTCTGCTGTTATATATATAACATTGCTGCATTCATTTACATAGGTACATACATTTATCCGTGTTCCGAACGCTTTTATGTAATTATTTACGCGTCCGCGTGTCTAATACACAACATTCGTACAATACATCGCCACTATATTATATTATGCATTTGTAAGTAAAGCGCACCGCGAAGCTCTCTCGCTATTTCCCTCGCGGGTCCATCCTTGGAGCAGCAGCAGCAGCATCATATGTGTCTACTGCATGCGTGTGAGTGTGTGTGTGTGCATATATACGGAAATATAACTGTATACGCGTGCACACTGTTACGGCGTTGGTTCGCCTCCGAGTCTCAGCCATGCAGCTCTGCACCGGAGAGGTCTGCTGCGGCAAAAGGCAGGAGGCCGAAGACACATCTCTTCGCGTACGCTCGTACACATATATATACGTACACACTTCACTTACACGTATACAGCAGGTATAAAGCAGCATCTCTAACTGGGCATACCTATGCGTTTTCCTCGGCTCGGTATAACGGGCGCGCATACGGGCAACAGTAGCAGCAGCAGCAACAGCCGTGGCCGCGTCGTCGTCGTCGTCGCGATGCACCGGCACGAGCTACAGCAGCAGCAGCTGTATCGAGGAAATATGCGAAAGATTCGCGTTGTATATTACCTACCTTCTTTCTCTCCGTACAAAACTCAGTCGCGAATCGAGTTCACGTGTCTCTCTCTCGCCGAGGACGAGCTGCGCTGTTATAAGAAAATAATGCCGCGATGCGCGCGAAATTATGCAAGCGCTGCTGAATCCAATCGGCAATTGGACAGCGGGTTAATGCTCGCACGGATGCTACAGACCCATAGAGGCGACGTCGACAACAACTATCGCGCATTTTTATTTATTTCGCAAGTCCACGCGCGAGAGAAAAAACCAAAACCATGATACACGTTTTATAATGGCGTTGATAATGAGCGGTTTGACGTATACATGCCTCGCGCGCGCGCGACCCCCGGGATAACGCGAGCGCTCGGGGATTTATAATTCAATGTTGCATTGTGTGCATGTATTCGTTTGTATGTGTGTGTGTCTGTATCTGTATACGTGTATACGCGCCGCGCGCGGCCTATATTTTTTTATCCTGCGCGTTAAATTAGCTCAGGCTCTCTCTCTCTTGGTAATCTCGAGGCATGTGCTCCCATATGCCATTATGTATCCCGGGCTCTGCGCAGAGTGAGGCCGCTTACCGGAGAACGCGAGACGACGACGACGACGAGTAAAGACCTCTTGCGAATTATAATTATACCTGCGCCTCTGTACGTGTGTGCGCATGTGTATATAATGTGTATCGCAAGGTTGGAGTTGCGAGCTGCGAGTAA